CTCAGGCAGTCAATAAATATTTTCCAGGAGCTTGCATCCCATTCCAGGGCCATCCCAGATACTCCCTGAGAGCTTTTACTTCTCCAGTCCCTCCTTGGGGAGGCCACATCAGTGCCATTCTAACGATAACTGCCTTTTATGAGTGTCCGCTGTGTGCCACGCACTGTGCTAGGCATTTTATATACATAATTCCACTTAACCTTCACAAGCCACTGAAGCAGCAGTGAACTCATTTTACACCGATTCAGACGCTCAGAATGGTGAATGACTTTCTTAAGGGGTACAGTTGGGTTTTGAACTCAGGTCTGCCCAACTCCAAGGCCAGTGCTGTTAACCTCCCCTACATTCTGTGGTCTTCCACTGGACTCAGGGCACACTGAGGTGTACACACGCAAAGACCACCAAGAAACAAGAGAACTGGGGATCTGGCCTGGTGTCCAGTAACTGGATAAATGCAGCTCTTTTTAAAGGCAAACTCTTGTTATCAGTCCACTAAGTCTCAGCAGCAGACCCCAAAATAGGAACTTCTTCTGCCCCAACATAGAAAGATGGCTTTTACCTGCTCCGGGAACAAAGGCTGAGGTGGGGTTTTTCGTTTTGCTTTTTTTTATTTGTTTGTTTTCTATAATACAGACATCATCACTCTTAACAGCAACGATGACAACAGCCGCTCGCATTTTTTGAGCACTCCGGATGTGCCAGGAACTATTCTAAGTGCTTTACTCAGACGACCTTAGCATACCCTCATGGCAGTGCTGTGAGACAGGAACTATTATTATCTCCATCCGTGTAGATGAGAAGGCTGAGGCCCTGACTGCACTTAATTGCGAAGAGATAGGATGATCTGAGGGAGACTGCACGACACATTCACTACCTGTTGAGATCACGTGTGACCACTGCGTACCTTGCACTTGTGTGCAGGTTTCCTGTGGACTGCCCCTTCCATTCTCCTAGCTCGGGGCAGTAACGAGAGCAGTTCTTATCAAACAGATGAGAAAATAGAGGTCTGGAGCAGGTAAAGTGGCCCCCGGGGCTTTGGTGAGGATCTGTTTTCTAAGCCACCAGGGTACCAGCTTTGTAATCAACTGCTGAAGACAGATTTCTGTCCAGGGGTTTGAGGTGGAGTCCTGTAGACCCAAACACAGGAGGTAGAACAGGCAGCTTTGGAGCCATCAAAAGTACTGTGAGCCCTTTAAAAACCCTTTCTTTTAAAAAAATGTTCAAGCCTTAAAAAAAGTTATCCAGGCCGGGTGTGGTGGCTCACGCCTGTAATCCCAGCACTTTGGGAGGACAAGATGAGCGGATCATGAGGTCAGGAGATCGAGACCATCCTGACTAACATGGTTAAACCCCGTCTCTACTTAAAATATAAAAATTAGCTGGGTATGGTGGTGTGCACCTGTAGTCCCAGCTACTCAGGAGGCTGAGGCAGGAGAATCACTTGAACCCAGGAGGTGGAGGTTGCAGTGAGCTGAGATCGCGCCACTGCACTCCTGCCTGAGGACGGAGCAAGACTCCATCTCAAAAAAAAAAAAATTATATAAACTTGCAAGAATATTTAACATGAAGCTCAGATGCACATGATGATAAAAAGAAATACGGTGACTGTCGAGTCATCCCAACATGTACTCTGCACTAAATGTATGTCTGAGGCTCTAAAACCCTGGGCTGCAAGTACAGGTGTGGCATATATCGTAGCATGGAGGTATCCAGCGACAGGGCTAACCTCCAGCCTCTCGGTCTTCCCCTTCTCCCATGTTTTCCTTCTGATACTTGCATTTCTAGATGCATAAAAAATGATTAATTTGGCTCCAGCTGCAGACTAGGAGGTTGCTTTGGTCAGACAGACACTGGGCGGCTCTTGAGATAAGCCACACTGTCCTGCCAAAGGATACCTTTCCTGTCCACGGAAGGGGACCAAGGGATGCTGAGGAAGCAGATTCTCCTCCTAAGGAAAGCACCAGCATTCACCTTTGGGAGGAAGAGGGAGCTTTCCAGAGGCAGCATAACAGATTACAGGCTTTAGTGCCAGTGCCAAATGGATTTGAACACCCCTTCTATGTCCTGGACAGTCAGCTACACAACCTGAGGCTTGGTTCCCTGTCTGTGGAAATGGGACAGTTATGCAAATAGCTCTCAGTGCCACTGTGAGGAGGGCCAGACAGGCAAGATGAGTGACAGAACCTGCCCAGGCACCCAGCACTCAGCAGCCTGGAGGTATTTGAGCATTGTCTGTCCCCTGACCTGACCGGAACCTGGATCTGCTCTCAACAGGCCTCTCTGAGGCCACTGCAGCACCTCCGTCTCAGATGGCTGCCACTTAGTCAGGTGCTGGTCAATAAGGAGCAGGAAGGCTTTGCTCCCTCCATGTCCCGATGTGGTCCATCCACAAAGGACATCCCTCCATGAAGTCATGTTCATGGGCTTTCCTTGTGGGGCTGGGAAGGGAGTATTTGCCCTTCCCCCCTACTTCCTGTATTTCTATATGCTTACTTTTTTGCTATAAGACGTTACTATGTTTCAATTGAGAAGAGTTAATAGCCATCTCCACTTCAAAGGGCAAAAATGTTAAATTTCCATTAATTCTTTTCATTTTAGCCCTCGGATGGCTTTAAATCTCTGTTTATTCATCTTCCTGAATAAAGGATATTCTGGAATTTCACAGCATTATTTAGCATTCTCATATTCTATCCTGTAATTTCAACCCCTGTCATTGTCTTCACACAAAGAAAAACAGCAAAGTAGACATCTCCCTCTGGAATGAAAGCCTGGACAATAGTGTTTACGTGCCTGCCCAAGGTGAGTTTGAAAATAAAGAAAATATAGCAGTTTGATTCCTCCTAGCTCCACAGTACTTTCCAATACCAAATCAGCTTCCTCACACATCAAGGTAATCTGCAAAGGGAAACTGACAGTCAGCATAAGTGGCTGCTTAAAGCATTTCTTTGCACATACGTTCCTTGTTGTTTTTAAAACAAAGACACAATTAAGAAAAATGTATGCAAATAAAAATTGTCTAACTCAATTGTATACACATTAGGAAATTTACCTACTAAAACACTGTCATAATTTTTAAGAGCAAAAAAAAAAAAAAATCCTGCAATTCAATAATCTCTTTCTAATTAAACTATTTGGCTGATTTTGGTCTATGCTGGATTTATAAAAAATAAAAGTCATCTCTATTAATCTTGATTGCTTGGTAATCTAGCAGAATAATTTGAGAATCTATTTGCTAACATGTCAATTTCCAGATGTCATTTTTGAAAAAAAAAAAAATGAGAAGTACTGCATTTGTTTATTAAAAAGGTAATCCCATCACAATTCTTCACTAAGGTCTTAAAGACTAAAAGTTATTTGGAATGCTGTGATTTATTCTGCCTGAGGAATATATCAGGAAAATGTGATCAAGTTTTAGAAAGTATCCAAAGGATTATAAATGATTCTACTATAAAGACACATGCACACTATGCTTATTGCAGCACTGTTCACAATAGCAAAGGCTTGGAACCAACCCAAATGCCCATCAGTGATAGACTGGATAAAGAAAATGTGGCCCATGTACACCATGGAATACTATGCAGCCATAAAAAGGATGAGTTCATCTCAAAAAAAAAAAAAAAAGAATGAGTTCATGTCCTTTGCAGGGAGGGAACATGGATGAAGCTGGAAACCATCATTCTCAGCAAACTAACACAAGAACAGAAAATCAAACACCGCATATTCTCACTCATAAGTGGGAGGTGAACAATGAGAACACATGGACACAGGGAGGGGAACATCACACACCGGGGCCTGTTGAGGGGTGAGGGATTAGGGGAGGGACAGCATTAGGAGAAATACCTAATGTAGATGACGGGTTGATGGGTGCAGCAAACCACCATGGCACATGTATACCTATGCAACAAACCTGCACACTCTGCACATGTACCTAGAATGTGAAGTATAACAACAACAACAACAAAAAAAGACAAAAAAGAAAGAAAGTATCTATCTTCTAAAGAAAGGGGATCCCTTCCTAAGGTAGAATCACCCTCACTTTTCACAATGGGACATGCACACAACATGAAATTTCTGTACCCAGGCATCTAGAAAAACAGTCAGGCAGGCATGGCATGAAGTCCTTCAGGGTGCGCTGGAGGGCGGGGCTGGCCATCTAGCTATGCAGTCACATTGAGCGATGAGATAATCACCTCAACGATTCGACAGAGAAGTGTAGGTACCAAGATGTGGATATGGGGGGGAACCTTGAAATGTGATAAAGGACTATGCCACCAGCATGTCTCTGGAACCTATGATCGGGCAAGATTCTAAAGTAGACAGTCGGTGTCAATGCAGACTTCACAATGCCTATTTCCTTTTGAAGGAAGGTGAGTGCCGCCATGTCCCAGTTTGCCTGGATAGTCCCGGTTTATGCCAATTGTCCTGGCATAACTATTCATAGTGTTTCCTTCCACTCTTCAAAGTGTCCTGGTGTGGCTGAAGATTACACTGTCAACTCCCTTCAGGTGTGGCTCACTTACACCTCCCGGCCACCCCAAGATGCCCACAGAGCTTTCCCAGCAGAGCCCACTAGTCAAGATTTTTCTGCTCCTCCTCCTGACCCACTCCCTCAAGGCCAAGGAACCCCAAACATATCCCTCCTGATTAAGATGTGTTTGAGAACAGCCTTTTGCAGACACTCACCCTAGAATAGAGGGGTGCAAACGATGCGGTAATTCAAGCCCGTATCCAACCCAGGAGGGCAGGGACTTTGACAGGAGCTGCCTTTCAGCGTTCTCCCCACACACCACTGAGGCAGGCCTGCATTAGAGAAACGGACTTACACCAGTGCTGGGGATGGCAGATCAAGGGGGCTCTGCCCACCCTCATGTCCCCTGCTGTTAAAATCCCATCCTCCTCTGCCCCCTAAAAAGACATCAAGCCAAGCTAGTGCCTCACAGAAGCCCTCGTGAAGACAGGACGGCACTGGCCTCTGACCACGCATCTCACTCACAGGCAGATTTTGAGAGGAATGACAAGAACTTTATTCTAATATTGCATGAAATGTTTTTGAAGTAGAAATGGTTATCTGACAAAAAAATTCTTTACACTTTGACCATCTAAAAGGTTATTTTCTATAAAATTATATAAATATTTCCATGTCCATATAGGAACACAACGTTTACGGTCCTAAAAGTTTTAAAAATCAACAGAATTATATTCTTTAGATAATGATCAGCCTAGTCAGAAAACAACATTCCCCAAGCAAGCATAAAGAGAGGACACAGTTACTGACGGATAGCGGAAATGTGCTGCGGGCTGGAGTTGGGGGGCTGAAAACAATGAAAACACAATCACTGGGGCACTTGGATTTTGTAAAATAAAACCCCGCAAAAACTATATGTAAAAAGTGAAACTAACCATCCAAGGTGAAGGTCAGATGACCTCCTGAATGAATTGCATTCTGAGTTGAAACAATGAATAGATCACCTGGTAGATTTGTTCTTCCAGGAGGCAAGGACCTTTTCCTTGTTTATTCTTATCAGGAAAACTTCTATTCAAGGTAGAAGGACAATTAGAGTGAAGCCTTCACAGCTGACAGACACGGCTTGTCCACTGGCTATGTCATCCTGGGCAAAGTCCTCAGCCTCTTGGAGCCTCTTTCTTTGCCTGTAAAATGTGGACAGTAATAGCTACCTTGTTGGTTGGTTGGGAAGATTAGAGGTAATCTATTGAAAGTGCTGCTAAAACTGCCCCTGGCAAGTAATGGACACTGAAAAAAGTCACTAAAACTATTTCGTGTGGGAGAAAAGGGTTTCACCCAGAATTTAATCCAACATCTACTAGTTTGCTCCCAAGGGGTTCTGTCAATCACAACCAACTTCAGAGTCTAAAACTGGACCCCTTCTGCTGCTCTGAGAGCCACGGCCAGGTAAACAGATGCTCCCTTCAGGATACTGTGGCCACTCCTTTCCTGAAGCCCCTGTGCGTGCATGCAGAAGGCAGGCTCAAGGAGGCTGTGCTTTCCTCCTATTTGGGCAGTACCTAATCTCCAAGCCACACAAGGCCAGGTGCTAGTGACATGAATTCTCTATTGAACCCCACAAGGTGACAGTCACACAGAAGACTGAAAACGAAGCTCCTGGGGCCATGCAGGGAGGCTCCTGCACACACGTCTCCCATGGAACAAACGTTTTGAGCACCACAGGCTGGGCAGGGATATGGAAGGACGTCCTGAATTGCGAGAACCTAGACCCCACAGGAGCCAAGTCTGGACTCTCAGGTCAGGCTCTGAGACCCTCACTCCAGCTGGTCAGCAACAACACTCTACTGAGAAGCCACCACTCCATGGAGAAGGGGGCTTTAAACAAAAAAAGAACTCTCCTGGACCTGAAGAATGGTGTGGCAAGCTCCCTGGCTGGGGATGTGCGAGCCAGGAAGCAGGTTCAAGCTGAAATGCACACTCCAGAGCACTGGAGAAGCGCCTGAGAGCAGCAGCAAGGACCACAAGGACACTGGTCTCGCCCTCCTAGGTGACAGGCAGGGTTCCAAGGGGTCCCCACGGACAAGCACACAGGAGAGAAAGGAACAGACTGTGCAGGAAGAAAGCAACAGGCACACCTGAGGTAAACTGTGGTCTCAGAAACATGATGCACACAGACAGGCGTCATCAGAAAGAGCCTGACAGTGAGGTCTGCAGTTCTCTGGAAAGGTCCAGTGAGGTTTTTTAGTCCTGATGAAACTGTTCTCCATTTCATAGCAGTCATCCTAAATACTCCAAGAAGAGGTTTGTGAGGAGGGTGACTCACCTCTCACCTTCTACAGTACAGCCAAGGACTAGAGTCCAAGACAAAGCCCATGCTGATGGTTCAGTGACGCCAAGAGGCAGGCCAGGCCATCCTCTCTAGGGCAAGGCCAGTTGCACTCAGACAAGGCCACGTGCTGCACGGCAGGATGACTGGACATATCCAGGGAGTGGAAGTCCCCAAAGCTGGAGGCTAGCTCAGCCCATCCTGCTGCTGGTTGTCCTGCTCAGCTTGTGGCGAGTGGAGGCAAGTCCCTACCCTGGCCCGCCTGCCTGGTGCCATCAGATGTACTGGTCCTCATCCCTGTCATTCAGGAGCAGAGACCACTTGTCCCCACCATCGTCCGCTGCAGTGCTGTGCCGAGATGGCTTGTCGGATGTCAGGGAGGACAGCGACACCTGGCTGACATAGCTGACCTGGTCCCATGGTGTGGCCCTGGGGGAGTCCCGCCGCCTGTCATCCATGCCGATGTGCACACTGACCTGCGATGCTGTCAGGGGCTTCATGTGGCCATGCGCCTGTGCCTCATACCTCTCCAGGTCAGGCTTCTTATAGCTGGAAAGCAGGAATGCAACAGCATCTGAGCCATTCTAGAAACAAGGCTCTTTTTTTTTCTCAGCCTGGTGAAGGCCTCTCATCCATCTTTTAATAATATTTAGTGTCAAAACCTCAAGAGTTCCCAAGGAAAAGGATATTAAACTCCCTATGGTTCCAGGAAAGCTCACCTGATTTAGAAACTTCCTAAGCAAATGCCTTGCACATTGTAGGCTGCCACTAACTTTTATTAAATGAATGCACTCATAAGTAAGTGAACATCTTTTTTAAAGAAAAAAATGATAGATAATACACAGGGACCCATGTCTGCTTGATGTTCACATTAACAGCCCTTGAGCAGCAGAGTAAGGGCAGCCCAGCATGTGGATGGGCAGCAGTGAATTGTCTGCTCATGGTGCTGATAAGTTACACGCATGCACACCAGGCTCCACGTGGGCTGCCACTGCAGCGTTTGTCCCAGGTGAATGACTGGGGAATGAGAGGCAAGTTCCACTGTTCCCTGAGCATGCAGAATGACAGGGCCTCCTGGGAGCCTCCAACAGATGCTCCGCCTGAGGGGACTCACCACTTGAGCTGCAGGGATGACAGCACCACAGACACAGAGGAGGCGGCCATGGCCGCTGAGCCCATCCAGGGCTGCAGCACAATGCCGATGGGCATGAAGACACCTGGGGAAGAAAGAACTCGCACTCACACCTAGGCCTGGGGAGAGGAGCCAGGAGAGGGCCTCAGGCACCGGGCTGGCCCCACCCTCAGTGGCCCCCGGTGAGGTCTCCACCTGGCGTGCTCGGAAGCCCCTGCTAGTGGATCTTGTTCACAGGCCCCCCAAAGTGAGGCTTCCTAGAAAGCTGGGTGTGGGGTGCTGTCGAGTGGGCCTGGCTCCCTTCCACTTGCCCTGACATTCCCAGAACCACCCACAGGTGGCATCCCATTTCAGGGTGAGCTCCAGGGCAGCGACGAACCACACGGAGTGGGAGGAGAGGGAGGAGAAAAGTGGCAGGAGGTGAGGGAGCCAGCTGCCCATCCTGCAGCCACAGTACCACAGAGGACAAACATGGCTGATGGCCATAGCCCTTGTCTAGCAGATGATCCCACCTCCAGGGTTTCATGACATCTTTAAAAGAGGAATGAGAGCCAGGTCCCAGGACAGGGTCAGGAGACAGGTATGGTCAACTTTGCGTGGCAGAGGCACACACACTGGGGGAATTAAGCTCCTGAGCCAGCTCTGGGGACAGGAAGTAAACCTGCCTAACTCACTGGGCTCAGGAGGCCAACACCCTGTTACACAAGTCACCACTAACCACTCAGACACAAGGGAGACTGAGGCAGGAATGCTGTGATTACAAACTTGATCTCTCCTCAGCCCATGGAGGAGCACTGCCTTGCAGAAGGGTCTGGAACTTTTCACTGCCATGTTCCCGGGGCAGGGAGCAGGGGGCAGGGGAGAGGCGTTTCTTGGGGAGGGGGAATGAGGGGGAATTACAAAGCAGAAAAATCTATTTCTTTTCTTTTTCTTTTTTCTGAGACAGGGTTTTACTCTTACCCAGGCTAGAGTACAGTGGTATAATCATGGGTCACCGCCACCTCCAACTCCTGGGCTCAATAAATCCTCCTGCCCCAGCCTCTGTACTCCCAGATAGGACTAAGGTGTATGCTACCATGCCCAGCTAATTTTAAAATTTTTGTAGAGATGAAGTCTCACTATGTTGCCCAGGTAAGTCTTGAACCCCTGAGCTCAAATGACCCTCCTGCCTCAGCCTCCCAAAGTGTTGGGATTACAGGCATGAGCTACCACACCTGGCCAAAAAGCCATTTCTTTCCATGATCATTTGTGTAATTCAGAGTGAAACTTGGGCAGGACTAAAGTTCAGGATAAGGTTCTGAAACACCAATAGTTGTGCCTAACATGTAGCAGATGCCCTATAATTCTTACTAATTAATTATTTCTCAGACTATATGTCTTAACAAATGGCTCTGAAAATAAGGCCACAGTAAAACAGGGCTCAGAAAATATAGCCAAGCATCTCCACTAGCTTTTTAGAAAGGAACAGAGTGAATGAGTTTTCAGGTCCTCTTCATATTTTCTCATTTACCTTTAAAGACATATAAAGCAGGGGACATAAAAAAAAACCAGCCTTTCTAAAACATCTCTAGCCAGCCAGTGAGTGAGCCACTCACTAACCTCAGCAGAAACCTGGGAGACAGAAGCCTTTCTGGGCGCAGCTGGAGCACAGTGGGTAAAAGCTGCCTACCTGCCGCGATGGGTATCCCAACCAGGTTATAAATCAGTGCCAGGACCAGGTTGATGCGTATCCTCCGGACAATCCTCTTGGAAAGGTGAATGCTAGCCACCACATCCAGCAAATCATTCTGATGGAGAGGAGCACACGGTGAGGAAGGCATCTGCCCACCCCCCTCCCAGCACCCACAGCCTGGCTGCAGCCGCGCTCACTCTGATGAGGACAACATCGGCTGCCTCGATGGCCACATCCGTGCCAGTGCCAATGGCGACACCCATGTCTGCCTGAGCCAAGGCTGGGGAGTCATTGACCCCATCCCCCACCATGGCGACTCTCTTCCCTTCATTCTGGAGCTCCTGGACCTTGGCCACCTTGTGCGAAGGCAGCACCTCTGCAAAGACTTTGTTGATGCCAACCTAAGACAAAAGAAAGGCAATGCCTGGTGTTGGCAAAAGGTATCAGATAGCAGCAGAAGCCTCAAATTACCCTCGCCCCTCTGCCCTCAGCCTCTGGGTCCAGTCAGTGACGTTGGTCAGCCACACCCTGCAGGTTTGCTGTCACAGGGCCAGTTCATCCCTGGCTCCCGCCCCAACACCCTGTACTGGTTTAGGCCCTGTCCTTTTCTGGATGTGCAAACAACCCCCTTGCTGGTCTCCCTGTCCACAGCTCAGTACCCTAACTTTTTTCTCCATGTGCTGTCCCCATGGTCTTTCCAAAGCATCTGTACGGCCATGGGTCCCTACTCTCCTGTCTCATGTCCTCCAGCAGACCCCATGCACCTCCCAGAGGAGGGCAGCTCAACTCTCAGGTCTGCTTCTGAGGTCCCCAGAGTCTCAGGGTCTGGCAGCTGGTGGTGCCACACTTGACCACACCATTCAGCTCCCTGCGGTGTCTCCAAATCGCTGTGCTATTCTGTGCCCCTGGGAAATGCTCCTGCTGCCTGCTCTGTCCTGGGAAGGTGCAGTTTTCGTTTCCTAGCCCCTCTCCCGCTTCTCAGATATAAACCGTCACTGGTCCGCCTTCTTTCAAGACTGTGAGCTGAGCCCCCTTCATTCCTCACAGAGCCTGGCCCCACACCTGCCTGTCACATTCGTGGTGCTTCGTAAGTGCCTGCTGAATGGATGAACAAGTGTTAGCCAGAAAAGGGGGGAAGGATGCTAAACAGGTCCACCATTAGCAAGGAGGACCATGGAAAACAGGGGTACTGCTGCTTCCCTCAAGGAACACAATTAAGCTTTCAGAAGCCTAGAGCTCTGCACACATTTGGAGGTGCATAATTTCTAGGAATCCAAACTGGAGCCACTGCTGTGTGAGGAGTCAGGCAGCCATCCAGTGGTACTGTACTCACAGGCCAAACAGCCTCAGGGGCTGGGCTGCCGGAGAACTGCCCAGGACTGAGTCACTTATCTGAGCACCCGAGTGAGAAGAGCTGAGCTGGCAAAATCTTCCTTTAACATAAAGGTTAGAAAATGTCTATCTTAGCCCTTAAGCCACATACTTTTTTTCCATTGCAAAGACTGGGAAAAGGTTAGAGAACAATGGAACTCCTTTTTCGAGGATGCATGCACCCAAACCCCAGGAAGAGATCTTCACACGGCACCAGTGCTCACGTGTGACACTACATGGCCACAGAATGAAGCACGTGGAGAGAAAAGCATCCAGGGAGGGGGAAAGAGCAGGAGTACAGTTCAGTGCTGGGCCAACTGGTGCTTATTTTTGTCTCTAACTGCTTTTATGAGCTTTATGCAGTTTGCAATATTAAAGGGCTGTACCTGAGTGGCAATGGCTCTGGCTGTCTTCCGGTTGTCCCCGGTGATCAGAACCACATCCACACCCATGCTTTGCAGCGTGTGCACAGCCAGGGCGGCCTCCTGCTTGACAGCGTCTGCGATAGCAATCATCCCACAGAGCACACCTGGAGTGAACCAGCCGGCATCAGCAGCTACACAGGATGGGCACCCCGCATCAAGACACCACACTTGCAATGTTCTCATCATATAATGTTACGTGCAAAAAACAAAACGCCAAATTATATAACACAATGGGGTTTTTTTGCTTTTTAAAAAGTACATGCATTTACAGACGTACAGAAAAGTCTGGAAGCAATATAATTAAAATCTTCACAGTGACTCCCCGAGGAATAGGATTATGAGTGATTTCATTTTCTCCTTTATAGCTGAATTTTCCAAACTTTCTGCAAGGAGCATGTATGACACTTTGCAAAGTGCCTGGCTTGTAATAAGAATTCAATACACGTTAGCGACTAAAATTCAAGAAATATAACAGATATCACTTAAAGTGATAAATGTCCAAACTAGAAAATCAATCCTTCTTTGTCTTTTCCTACAGAAAACATTTTGGCAGAATTTCTCTTTGAGTGAATCTTTAGCTATAGAAGCAGGAGGGTTTTTAGGGCTGAGATGTGAATGAGAACACAGTGAGGGATGACATACGAGATGGCATGACTCCTTTACTTGTGCCAATTCTGGTTTGATAGCCGAGGAGAGGGTGGATTTACAAAGACTTACAAAAAGGGAAAAAAAAGAGAGAATGTGAGAGGAAGACATATTTGGCTGGAGCATTCAAAAGGTATCATAAATTTTATTTCTTGCTTGCATATACTGTTACTTCTATTAGCAGAAACTAACATTAACAAAGTAAAGACTCTAATCTCTCTGGCATGTAAAGCCCAGGATAGAATCTGAGCACTAAAACACATGCAGTCTTTTTTTTATTTGAGATGGAGTTTCATTCTGGTTGCCCAGGCTGGAGTGCAATGGCATGATCTCGGCTCACCACAACCTCCGACTCCCAGGTTCAAGCGATTCTCCTGCCTCAGCCTCCCCAGTAGCTGGGATTACAGGCGCCTGCCACCACGCCCGGTTAATATTTTTTTAGCAAAGACGGGGTTTCACAATGTTGGTCAGGCTGGTCTCAAACTCCCAATCTCAGGTGATCCAACCACCTCAGCCTCCCAAAGTGCTGGGATTATAGATGTGAGCCACCGCACCCAGCCAACACACACAGTCTTGAGACCTGTACTCCATGCAATACCCAGTCTGTATAAAGCAGACAGAAGGGCAGGCGTGGTGGCTCACGCCTGTAACCCCAGCACTTTGGGAGGCCAAGGCAGGGGGATTACCTGAGGTCAGGAGTTCGAGACCAGCCTGGTGAAACCCCATCTCTACTAAAAATACAAAATTTAGCTTGGCGTGGTGGTGGGGGCCTGTAATCCCAGCTACTCAGGAGTCTGAGGCAGGAGAATTGCTTGAACCCGAAGGCAGAGGTTGCAGTGAGACGAGATTGCACCACTGCACTACAGCCTGGGTGACAAGAGGGAAACTCGGTCTAAAAAAAAACAAACAAAAGTAATAACAAATAAATAAAGCAGACAGAGAAGAGTGGCATGGATCTCATTGTTTAAATGCGTCCTGTAGTTAAACCTGTTGGGAAGTGAATTCCTGCTTTGTCTGCAGGGATGAATGAGAAGGATGACTCTGAACTGCCCACCCAGACAAGAGCAACGATGATGACAAAGACAGTTTAGAATTCCAAGGTCAAGAAGACTGAGGCCAGACCAGAGCTGGCTATGGGGCCAAGATGGAGACAGTGGGAAAGAATGAAGAGAAAAGACAAAAAGGCAATCTTTTGGGAAACAGGCCTGAAATTAAGAGAGGAAGGTTTTCATTTGTTTTCTTTTCTTTTTTAAAGGAGGACTCTTTTGCCTGATATCTGCAGAAAACTGCATTTCTGAGAGAGCAGAAGGAAGGCAGAAGCAGAAGATACCGTCAATAGCCACCAGGATGGCTGTCTGTCCTTTCATCTCGTGGTCTGTCATAGCGTCACTGACGTCACTGGAAATGGTTAAGCCGTTGCGCCTCAGCCATTCACGGTTTCCAATCAGTACAGAGAAGGTCTGGGGGGCTGCATCTATTCAAAAGAGGCTGTGGTTATTTCTAAATGGTCCAATTTCGCTGTTAACTAAAACCATGCAATCCTTTTAACCGCAAAATATCCTTTTAACCAATCTGAAAAACTGTAACCTTCCTCTTGTGACAGCATCCTTTAGGACAAGAAAAAAAAAAAAGTAAAATTAATGTGTAGGACATGTGGGTATGAATTAAGATGAGGCATTAATAGGACACGCTGTATGGGTGGAAATAGTATAAACGTATTAAACATAAGGCAACGTCCGTCTTTGTCTTAAAAGTATCCACTGATTCTTTTTCTGCAGGGATTAGAAGCACTTAGGTATTTGCCCAGCACACAAAGCAAGTGTTGACTACATTCATTACTGCTTGGTATCAACGACCCCAGGTGAATCAACGAATAATCAGGCAAGTCTACATGAAATGTTTAAAACTGTAATTCCTGAGGCTAATGCATCTCTCACCTGTCACTTTCAAACAGCGTGTGCTGCTAACTGAGATGTCACTGCGCGGCCAGGCTCTGGAAGCTCTCATGGAAAGGCCATCTGGGGTTTTAAAGGCTGGAAGGTGGTATGTGGCTTCTAACCACACAATCTAAGTCACAATTTCACTACCAACACTTAAGAAAAACACTAGTCATGGGTTTTGAGTGTTTTCCATCCTTTATTCTGGTGGCTGGCAAGCTACCTTGAGAATAAGAAAGGCCATTCTTCAAAAGCAGCTGTCCCTCCAAGCAGTGTCCCTTCCTGGCTTGGGCAGACATTTCCCTCTGCTTTCCCTGACTTTTTCTGCCTGCTCAGTAAATACCAGAGTTCTACCACACAGGATGGAAACAGGAAGAACAAAAGTGGAATTCCCATCTGCCAACTCTGTGGCTTATGAGAAGCAAGACCGATTTGGGATAAGAAAGAGATGAATCAAAATCACGGTCAGCTAAACAATGCTCTACGAATTTAAGGCAGCCATAAGCAACAAAATTTACATGCACCCAAGAACATGAGAGAAACTTTCCTGGGGGTGGGGAGGCAGGCTTGGGTGCCTTAGCCATGAACCGTCCGCTGCACAGCAGAGGCCATCACTGCTGGACGTGGTGCTCTCTGTGGTTTAGCCCACCTCTACTTTGAACCAGCTGCAGAGACAGAGGCCAGCAATACCTTTTTCTGCGGGAAGGTTGCCAGCCTCATTCAGGTGACTGGCAGGTGCACTCAAAGGGCGCTCACTGTGGGCCAGGATGCCTTCCACGTTGCTGACTTTGCACCCAATTCCACAGCCTGGCACCGCCTGGAAGTCCGTGCAGTATCCCAAGGTCTCTGTTCCAAGTTCCTGGGAAGGTGGAAAGAGAGGGAGAGGAACCTGTAAGCCAAGAGGGGTGAAGTGAGAGGGAGGGGTAGGCAGGAGAGGGACACAGGGTGAAGGTGGCAAGAGAACAGTGGAAAGTGGGAACTGAGAGAAAGGAGGAAAGGGAGGTGGAATGGATGGGAAAGGTTAAGATAGTGACTAGTAATTATTTCTCCCCCTTTGGTAAAGATACTATAGCTGTAAAGTTGAATGAGACTAAACAGCCTAAAATGTTTCCCTGGGTAGGTGCCTCATGACAGTGAACAGGTTACTGAATGGAAAGGAAAAAGGCAATTCATATCAAACACCTCAAATTAAAGAGGAGTGCAGGTGCCAAAGAGAGGGAGAAGTGAATTTTATGTTGCAAATGATTTCATAAAAACAATGGAATAAGTAGTGTTAACAAAGCTCTTTGAGGTTATCAAGAGATAATTGCCTGTATATCAGATCCCCGAGGAGGGGACAAGGTGGCAGGGGAAAGGAATGGCTGGGGTTTCTAGACGGCCTGTCCTCCCCCAGGCTGTGAGCTCCTGAAGGGTAGAGTTCACATTCCACTCCTGTTGTTCTCCTGAGTCTGATGCCTGGTGATGTTCAGCAAATGCCTGTGACACCGACCTCCCTTTATGATAACCTAGAACTGTGGCAAGGGCTGACTGTGAGTCTCTTATCTCCACTTGCTGCAGATGAGCCTTCTAAGCGGTTTTCCAGACCATACAACAAATGAAGGATGACTGAGGGTGAGCGAGATTCTCCCTGAAATGTCAGCAGGGAGGTGTGAAACAGTGGGCTGTCTGACCCTACATGAAGGAAAAACTAGAAATGAGGTTTCTGGAAGAGCCTCTGACCACGAAGAGTTGTCAACCATTTTTCAAGGCAACGATATCACCTTTCTACATTTACTGCTAACAGTATTGCTCAGGCTGTTTAAAAATTGTCAGGGCAATATTCTGTGTGACACGTTCTGCTGCCCCTATATTCAGACTGAAATTGAGAGAAAACAAAACAGAACATTTCACGTGGAGAGACCAAAAGAGGGCATGCTTCTCTATGAAGTGCCAAGAACCTGCCGGGCGCTCTGGCTCACCTCAGCTGGTTCCTCTCTGTCCCAGGTGCTCCCAGGGGAGTAGATTTCTCCCTCCCACCCCAATACTCCCATTTCATGTTTGTGTCCCCTTGCACTAAGCACTGTCAAAGCACTGAGTTTCCAGACTGCCTGTACTCCCCAAGGCTGTGAGCTTCCAAAGGGTAGACTTCACATCCCACTCCTGTTGTTCTCCTGAGCCTGGTGCCTGGTGATGTTCAGCAAATGCCTGTGACACTGAACTCCCTTTGTGATAACCTGAAACTGTGGCAAGGGCTGACTGTGAGCCCTATCCCCGCCTGCTGCAGAGGGGCCTTCTAAGTGCTTTTCCAGACCACACAGAGAAGGCCTGCTCAAGGGCAGCTAGGAGAGAAGGCCATGGTGAGGAGTAAAGGAGCACTGGTGGGGAGGGCAGGGCCATGCCCAGGTCCACGTACCTCTTTACAGTATTTGGTGACTGCCACGCCCAAGGGGTGTTCGCTGCTGGCCTCCGCAGTCCCCACCACAGCCAGAACCTTCCTGAGGGGCAGGGTGGCCACATCCCCCAGTAGGAGCACTCGCATGACCCTGGGGACCCCATGGGTAATGGTGCCAGTCTTGTCAAACATCACAGTCTTTATCTGCCAAAAACATCCACAACTCAGTGACCACAATACAGATGGAGGCGCTTCCATAGTCACAGTCCTGATGCAGAACCTCACCCAACCTGCCTCAGACAGGAAACAAGACACCTGCACAGCTTCCTAATGTGATCCTCTGTCGTTGAATCTCAGGGTTCAACAACTCCCACTGCAAAGAAACTGTTTCCCTACATGTCCAGTCAAACCAGCCACACCGAGGCTTGACCGTGACCAGGCAAAGCCAGAAACCTTGGCTGTACAGGAGATGGCACAGCACTGTCCCAATAGTGACACCATCCACAGACTTCCTCACGTCAGGTCAGGAGTCAGGACCCTGAGGGACACCTGCCTCCCTGTCCACTGCCACACGCCGAGCCCAACCACAGCTTCCTCTTGCCTGCCTAAGTGCAAAAGCTACTGGGAACAGAGTCCTCACACTCTGAGTTCAAGAAAGGAAAGGACTATTCTATGGCCATAATGACAAACAAACCCCCGGAGCCAGTTTTAAGTTGGTCACACTTGGTCAATGGCAGTCTGCAGAGTCCCCACACCTCTGGGCTCAGATATGGGCAGCAGCTACAGGTACCTGCTCTTCCATGACCAGGGCCAGCCGAGCCCTAAGCCCTGCTTCTGAAAGTCCAGTAATCCCTGAAGTGTATAATTCGAACCCATTTAAGGCCAGCAGGTTGTTCTTCTCAGACCGTGTCCCACAGCAGGGTTCTATGCAGGGTTCTCCCTTACAATTGTGCAAACAATAATTCAGCTTTTTGTTTCTGATGCTGAGTGGTGGCCTTCCTTCAACACACTTAACTCATCTTCCTCCAGAGATTCTTGCCAGTTTTCAGTGCATCCTTCACTATGCAGCCAGAATGATCTTCCCAACACACGATCCGGTCACATCACGTGGGTATGCCATCCCCACGCGGCTTCTAGGGTAACGTTCACAACTCTTTACTAAATCTTCGGCCTTTGGATTCTGGTCCCTCCCTCAACAGCCTCATCTCTAGTTCCTCTCTCCCAATGATTTTCTTCCAGTTCCTCATTTGCTCATTCAACAGATAACTTCTGAATGCACTCGATGTCTCAGGCTAGATGCTGGGGATACCATGGGGAAGGGAAGTTCCACCTCCACAGGTCCTGTCCACCTGCTGTCCCCATGTTGGAACACTCTTCCCCAGCTCCGCTGTCCAGCTCTCACTCAACAGTAAGGTCTCAGATGAACATTCGCATTCGCTTCCCTGACCACCTGCAGCACCCTTGTCCCTGAGTCCAGCACCCCAAGTCTAGGATTGGCCCCTGTTCAAGTGTCCCCAGGGCATCAAGCACCACTGGTCAATACTCAATATTTCGTAATACTCACTCAGCTTTGCTATTTACTTTTTCACTGTCTGTCTTTCCCCCTAACCTGGTGGGCTCCTTGGCAGCTGGAAACCATGACCATCACCAGAACCCAGTGTGGGGCCCACATGCAGTGAGTGCCCAGCAAATGCTGATTAAATAGGTGCAAGTGTGAAAGGCCAGAGGTAAGTTAGGCAAAAGGAAGACACTTCACAAACACCGTCACTCACTCTTCACTCCCCGGGGTCACAGGACCCACCACTAATCCCACAGATGTCACGGTGGGGCTTTTGTCCTGGAGCCTGGCTACCTGGGTGTGAATCCCAGCTCTGCCTCTGGTTAGCTGCAGGCCTTTGGGCGAGTAACCTAATCTCCTCCTGCTGCAGTTTCCTCATCTGTAAAATGGGAATGATAAGCACCTACCACACAGAGTTGTTAATGCAATTAAATCAAGTAATGTTGATAGTGTTTCATTATATGACTGGTGGCTATTCTGTTGCTACTGTCCTTATTCCTAGTTAGACTTGACTTACTATTCTATGTAATTAACACTGCTGTCTTGAGTGGCTCTCAGGCTTTTCTCTCAATGTGAAATAGTAAACAGATACTACTTTCATCTCTCAGGACGGGGAAAGCCGTGGTACAGGCTGACCTTGTGTGCCATCTCCAGGGGCTTGCCTCCCTTGATGAGGATGCCATTCTGTGCAGCCACCCCGGTGCCCACCATGACGGCCGTGGGTGTGGCCAGCCCCAGGGAGCAGGGGCAGGCAATGCACAGCACCGTGATGGACGTCTGGAATGCAAACCGGATGATCACCTCTGTCTGGGAGATGTGCTTGTTGGGGTTCTGAAAACAGGACAGAGTCAGAGGCAGGTTAAGAGTTCAGTAAGGAAGCTCCCAGAACTCTGATCACATAAGGGCATTTCAGGGGGGCACTGGGCACAGCGTGACAAACTTGGGGTTAGGAAACAGATGGTATTCTGCACTGCTCTGCCATCATAGAGAACACATTACTGCTCTCCACATTCCAGCTATCCAACTTAATCCTACAGGTTTCCCTCAAAGAGGCATTACAGGAGTAGAGTCAAATAAAAGCCCTTGACAGGGGAAAGCAGACTCTGGAGATGGACCACACAGATCCAGATCCTGGTTTCCTCATACACAAAATGGAGATGATAATGCATAGCTCATAAATTGTGGTAAGGATTGAATGAGGCAATACACATATAAACATATACATATACACAGTACATAACACCGGGTATAGGAGCAGCATCTAAGAAACAGTAACTATTATCGTTATTTTTTTCATCATCAGGAAAGCTTAAAAAATGCTATTCTAAGGTGATAATCATATAAATGAGAAAAGATGCAAGAATATTTACCACAGTGTTTTGCTTTTGTAATGACAAAAAATGGAAACAATAGGAGATTGGTTAATTAAATTGTAGGTGTGGTGTATATAATAGGATATGAGGCAACTGTTGGAATGATGATGTGTATCTACATTTACTGATATGGAAAGGTACCAGCAGCCCTGCAAAATTAAAAAGCAAGTACAAAATGGCATGTGCTGGATTTATTCATGCAAAAATCTCTGCCTATATCTGAATATAGCATTTCAACAATACTGGAAAGGTATCCACTAATGTGCAAAAACATTACTTCTAGGGATATGATTTGGAGGTATCTTTATTTTCTTCTCTGCATTTTTCACTATTTTTTCTTTGTAACCCCAAACAAAATATGAGTCTACTTTCCAGACACTTGGTATTATTTGTATTCTGAAAGCTTGAATTATCTCGGTTTATTTTTAAAAATGGCTGGTGGCTATGGAGTATAATCAGGAGATACTATGTTCACTTACTTACTGTAAAAAGCACAGTTGTCTAGGGTAAGGCTATGGACCACAACCTCCTTAGCTTCCATCTACATTTTATTATTTCACTCTGAAAGGCAGGATTCTAAAATAAGATATATTACTAAAGGGGTCTTTTAATTTTAATAGAAACAGTTATATTTAGGTAGAGGGATATATTGTTTAAGATTTTTAGAGATAAAGATTATGTAGTCTTTTTTAAAAACACACTAATTCTTGTCAAAATCACACTTGGCATTCTGACAGGACTGGGTGGACTTCTGGAAGTTACCATGAGCCCTTCTCTACAATGACTTTCGTACAGCAGAGAGATGATAGTATCTTAAAGGAACATGCAGTACCTCGTTTGCCAGCATCCTCCCTGATATTGCAGATAAAAACAAAAGAAGCCAAAGTAAGATAGAAAGGCATGGAACAGCAGAAAGCCACAGATTCCAACTTGTTTAGGACTGAGTCTTCCCATGGCCACAAGCCAACGCACTGCTCTCCCAAAAAAGCCGAAATTGTAGGCGGTCAGGTGCCATGGATAGCCACTGGCACATTCTACCAATATATCTGTAAGTTACTTTTTTTTTTTTTTTTTGAAACGGAGTCTGGCTCTGTCGCCCAGGCTGGAGTGCAGTGGCCGGATCTCAGCTCACTGCAAGCTCCGCCTCCCAGGTTTACGCCATTCTCCTGACTCAGCCTCCCGAGTAGCTGGGACTACAGGCGCCCGCCACTGCGCCCGGCTAGTTTTTTGTATTGTTTTAGTAGAGACGGGGTTTCACCGTGTTAGCCAGGATGGTCTCGATCTCCTGACCTCGTGATCCACCGTCTCGGCCTCCCAAAGTGCTGGGATTACAGGCTTGAGCCACCGCGCCCGGCTGTAAGTTACTTTTAAGAGCACTGAGTTTCCTTAGATGTCAGAAAGTGTTTAACTTGAACATTTTTCAATTTAAGATGGAAAATTTGAGGGAGAAAATGACATCCTAGTAAATGACATGTGTCCTGAGAATATTTGATATACTTTTAATTATGTGCAGAATTGTTTTTAAAAGAAAAAAATTATCCATTCCATATTTGTACTTTTTGCTGTGTTACCCAGGCTGGAGTGCAGTGGCTATTCACAGGCACCGTCACAGCACACTACAGCCTCAAACTCCTGGACTCAAAGGATCCTCTGCCTTAGCCACCCGAGTAGCTGAGTCTACAGGTGCTTCGCCACACCCAGTTTGGTTTCTTATTCTATGGCTCTATGGTATAACAAGCATTAGACTGGGCTAGGAATAAGTTAAGGTAAAAACATTGTTCCGCTCACGGTGATGTGACCACTCATTGTTCTGCTCATTGTGCCGTTAACAGTACCAAATACTGTTCTAAGTGTGCCATTAGTTTTTTAAGTACTCAGTGCTACTGACATTTGGGGCTAGATAATTCTTTGTCGTAGGGGCCTGTGATGTGCCTTGTAGGATGTTTAGCAGCATCTCCTCAGTCACAAAAACCAAAAATGTCATAGCTCCCAACTGAGAATCACATATGTAATATAGATTTTATTCCTCAAGAAAATACGTTTTTTGAGGGGTGGCCTGTATTTTCCTTTCTTTTTCTGAGGTTTAATAAAATCATATTTCCTAAGACAGTGTTCTTCAACCACTTTTTTAAACTAAAAAATGTATATGCCATTGCCTCACATACAATGTTTAGAAAACATTTACTATAAAAGGCTATTCACGTCTGGGTGCAGTGTCTCACGCCTGAAATCCCAGCACTTTAGGAGGCCGAGACAGGCGGATCACCTGAGGTCAGAAGTTCAAGACCAGCCTGACTAACATGGTGAAACCCCATCTCTACTAAAAATACAAAAATTAGCTGGGCGTGGTGGCGTGTACCTGCAGTCCCAGCTACTCGGGAGGCTGAGACAGGAGAATTGCTTGAACCTGGGAGGCTGAGGTTGCAGTGAGCCGAGATTAAGCCACTGCACTCCAGCCTGGGCAACAGAGGGAGAGTCCATCTCAAAAGAATAAATAAATAAATAAGAAAACATAAAAAGCTATTCACATTACTTGGGAAGCTGGGAGGTCAAAGATGGTACTGGTAAATATATACATCTAAACATATTTTTCTTAAAATGTGTTAAATATTATTATCATGCCATTGACATTTAAAGTGAGCTATGTTCTATGACGTATGCCTCATAAACTCAAAAGGGACCAATAATACATATTGTAAATGCTTCAAGCATTACAACTGAGCACCAATTGATGTCTGTGAAAATCATCTAAGTAGAATGCAAAGGAGAACTTTAATAGAAACCTGCAGAAGGAGAGTGACTGTTTATCCCGCTCTGGCTTAAATTTTGCTGTCAATAAGAGAAGCAAGCAAATAAAATGCAATGAATAATTAAAGCCCAGTGAATCTAAGAGATGAAAGAATAGGATCAGTGTCAGTAAATTATTTAAAACACAACCACCATACAGCCCAAGGCATTCAACTTACAGGAAAGTACTTCTGAACAACACCAAAATCGATAAAACCGATTACAATCCATACCACCAACGTCAAAGTTGACATGATGATGATAAGTGGGACAAAATATCCACTAAACCGGTCAGCCAGTTGCTGAATGGGGGCCTATGAAAAGAAAACACCAAGACTGTGGGAAATTACAACCTATGAAGAAATAAACCACCACAAGCATTGATAAGGACTGGGATAATCTCCCTCATTTAACCACATTTACTAATCAATCTCTACTCAATAAAACTGTCTGTTTTCCCAGAACTCTTGATATAATTTCTAAAATGAGAAAGATGAAGTTAGTTTTAAAAATGTCTTCATTACCTTTGACATCTGAGCCTCTTCCACCAGTTTCACAATCTGAGCCAAAGTGGTGTCATTGCCCACATGGGTGGCTTTAATGAGCACAGAGCCATGTGCATTTATAGACCCCGCAATTACAGTGCTTCCGGGTTTCTTAGTGACTGGCATGGCTTCTCCTAGAAGTAGGAAAGAGACAACCATCATTTGCTCAGCCCCATCCAGCACTCATGTGACCTGAAAGCTGCTATGATATCTGCCTGAGGGAACATAAAACAAGCCGCCTCACCTGTGATGAGGGACTCATCAGCCATGGTATTGCCTTCCAGGACTTTCCCGTCCACTGGGAACTTTCCCCCAGGGACCACCTTGACGATATCGCCCCGCTGCACCAGCTCCATGGGGACTTGCTCCTCCCTGCAACAGACGCCACTCATCACTCATATGGCCACTCATTCGGTCACCAGGTCAGGTTCTAGGCCAGTTGTCACACTAGTTATACTGCGCTTGCTTATACTGAGCAACAGTATTCATTTGATCTGTTCATTTACAGATATTTATCGTGCAGCTGCTGAATGCCAGGCATTGTTCTAGGCACTGGTGACACAGCTGTGAATGGCACAGCAAAGGCCCTACTATCTCATGAAGACAAGTTCTGTGGTGGAAATGGACAACAAGATAGAATCAGGCATTAAATATGAATAAGTGCTGTGATGAAAATAAACCAGGATAACGTGACTGGAGGGCTTCTTAGAGTGGCAGAGGGAGGAGGAGACTGGAAGGGCTTCTCTGGGAAGGTAACATTTAAGCTGAGACCTGCAAGCCAAGAAGGTCCAACACACAGGGAAAGGAAGTTCATGGAGAGAAAACAACTGACACAAAGGTTTAAGGCAGGCAGGAAGGGTACGTCTGAGAAACAGCAAGAAAGCAAGCATGGCTGGCAGTAAGTGACGTGCAAGTTGAGGTCAGAGAAGCAGGCAGAGTCCAGATCATGCTGGGTCTCCTGAAGCAGAGCATGGGTTTTCAATGTAAGGCTTTAGCAGGAAAGTGACACAATCTGATTCACATTTAAGTGATCTCTTTGGCTGGTGCATGAGAACGGGCTGTAGGGGTGATCACAGGAGTAAGGGGGAGAGTCAGGCTATTGCAGTAGCCCAAGCAGAAGATGGAAGTAACCTGGATGACAGAGCAAGGAAGAAGAAATACACAGCATATTCTTAGATCATGTGTCAACAAGATGTGAAAATGCACTAAATGTGAGGGTAAAGAAAGGAATCAAAGATGAGCTCCAAATTTTCATTTTTGAGCAACTGGGTGGATAGAGAAACCATTTAATGAGATGGAGATGATTATGGAGAAGCAGCTAAGGGAGGGTGAGGGAAGAGAAGGGGAAGAGATGGAGAGAAATGGTTCATTTTGACATGTCGGGTTTGAGATGCCTATTTGACTTCCACGTAGAAATATCAACCAGGGAGCTGAAAATAAGAGTCGGAAGTGGAAAGAAGAGGTCAGAGGTAGAGAACGAACCTGAGAGCTGTCACATGTAAATGGCATTTAAAGCCATGAAATCACATGAGCGTCCCTAGGAGTGAACGGAGAAACAGAGAAGGGGTCCTAGAATTCATCCCTGAGACACTCCACCATCCAAAGGCTGAGCAGAACCTGAAGGACCGGTCAGTGACACAGGAGGAAAATGAGAATGGGACTGAGGAGGAAGAGGAGGAGGGAGCACCCATCCAACAGCACCAAACGCTGCACAAGTAGTTCCACAGGGGCAAATATACACAAAATTCATCACACTCTACACATAGGGTTTGTATGCTGCAGTGAATGTGAGTTACACATTGAAAAAAGAAAAAAAATCAGACAGACAAGGGGGAAATATTTGTGAGAGACTGAAATGAGGACTGAACACAAGCAATGCTGGATTAGGGTATACAGAAATGATTTGATGGCTGTGGCCAAACCAAGTTCGGAAACTGGTAAAGGCAGAGGCTCAATTAGAATGGGCTGAGAGAGCACGGTGTGAGAAGGCAAAGACAACAGCAAAAGTCCCATTTTTAAAGAAGGCTTGTTGTGAAGGAACAGAAAAACAGAGCACTAGAAGGGAGGGTGGATTAAAGTGGGGATTGTGTCTTGTACATACTGTGCGCTGGTGGGACACATCCTGCAGAGACAGAGATTCTGTGGGCGAGAGAGGAGAAGACGGCAGGAACAGAGACAAAGCCAGAGGGAGGGCACCCATGACCCAGGGCCAGCTTCAGCAGCAGCTCACTAAAAGCATGGCATGGGCCCAACAGAATTAATTGTAGAGGTAACACTGGCTCATGAGCAAATGGTGAACAAGCCAGAAGAGCGTACATGGAAAGCAAGCAGGGCCCTGAGGTTATTTTACACTTTCCTTTCATTCTATGAAGACTACATTTAAACTACCACGGGGACAAAAGCCATCTCATTTACTTGAGAAGGAGAAATAGACATTTACTGTGTGCTAGAAACTGTGCTAGATTTTTACATGTTTTATCTCACTGAATCTTCCCAGAAACATACAAGGTGAGTCTTATTACCCCTATTTGAGCAAAACCTGAAGATGTCCTAGAAAGGCACAAAATTGAACATACATGCCCACTTATTAAAATGTTGCTACATGCAAATATATAAAACTTAGTAACTACCATATGCAGGTAGGTATGTTAAATATTTGCATCAATATTTTCCTTTGTAAAAACTGTTCAGGAACAGTCTCTGTGCTATGAGGATTCAAGGCTTGTCTGGCTACTTCCCAGGATTATGTGAGATGCTTAGTATGGCACCTGTACACAGTAAGTGCCCAGTGAATGCTGGTGATTTTTATTATCTCTTAATTGACATTTTCATATTGATTGGCCTCTTGTGTACCAGGCACCAGAGTAGCCTGGGGTTACAAACAGGACACAGTACAGCCTTCCTCTCAGGAGGTTTATAGCCTCTTAACTAAAAGCAGACACACAGATGGACAATTAAGACACACACAGTAAGTTCAATCATGGCAATCAAAATAAATGGAGCACTGAAAAGGAGACTTTCAAAGACTGAAGTCTTTAGTGCTGGGAGTATACCTTTGTTAATCTGTTTGGTGGCTGAGTGAGCCAGGAGAAGGGAAGGATCTCGACAACCCAAGAATATTCTATGCTTATTTTTAAAGTCCTCCAGGGATGGAGAAGTCCAGGCTCAACAACGCCCTTGAGGCCTCCTCTGTACAAACTGGAGGATTTATCATCCCACAGAGGTCTCCACATGGCCTGAGAAGCCCAAGTCAGGAGGAGGAGCTCCCTGCATTCAATTTAGAAATGAAAGACCCTAAGAACTAAAGGTCAGACCCTCCTCCAGCAGAACCTAATCACTAAGTTTTAAAATGTCCACTTCTGTAAGGAGACTTAAAAGTGGCACAAATGTACAATTGGGTGTCTAAGAAATCTTTAGTAATGGTAATCTCTGTTAAATCTAACTTTGAATTTCTCCTTTGATCTAAATTAACCACATATTTCTAACTTAAGAAGCTTAAGAAGAATAGTCCTTTATGGGAGTTAATGTGGCTCCTTCTGGTGAATCTCAATAGCATTTATTCTTCAGAATCTACTATTCCTCTCCAAGTGCTGAGGGATAGGAGCCCTCTTAATTAAAAGACAGTGGTTTGTTTCACAGCACTTCTTCATCTTTAAGAGTTTCTGACAGCAATCTGTTTACTTCACTTGTCTCCTCTCTTCTACTCCCCTTCCTCATTAAACACAAGTTAAGAAAACAAAGAAAAAACTTACAGCATTATGGTCACTGGTCTACATATGATATGTAATTTGTTTCCCTATCAATTATTAAAAACAAAAAACAAAAAACAAAATTTCAACGTGGGAGATTGGGGATGGGGATGTGCAAGCCTTTTAATATCAAGCACACCCATGTGTGCAATGTTGCTTTAACATCTGACAGCAGTTACATTCCACTAGTGAGTATCTCAGCGCCTGCCGTGTTTACATCCCAGGGCGGCTGAGGCACAGAGTGCTCTGAGAGCACTGAGGAGCCACAGCTGAGTCAGGCCTGGGGAATCAGGAAAGGCTTCTGGAGGATGCAACTTCCATGCTGAGCCCTGAAGGCAAGGAGCCAGGCAAAGGATGAGGAAGAAGGGAGTTCAAGGGGAAGGAAGGATGTGTGCAGAGGTCTGCAGAGAGAGGCAGCCCCTTCCTGGGACCTGCCAGTGGTGCAGGGCAGCTGGAGCACAACGCAGGGGATGGCAAGACAGGCTTGGCTCAATAGGCATGCAGGCAGACGCCAGGCCTCACTGCCACGTTAGGAAGGTGGTGTTGATCCTAAGGACAGCAGGCAGCCGTTGAAGGATTTTCCAATACAGAGTCATATGATCAATTTGTGCTTTCAGAAAGATCACTGGTTTGAATGTGGAAAAATACTGGATGGATACCTGACTGCAAGCAGTATAAGGAGACAGCTGCGGTGCTTTAAGGGCAAGGCCACGGTGGCCTGGACCAGCATGATGCCAGCAGATGACGCCCCTAGAGACAGAGGTGCTAGAACCATGAGAATGGAGTGTAGATGTGTGAATGAGGGCAGGGAGGCATTGTAGAGGACACACTGGGAGCTGGCATGAGGGTGCCTTTCCCTGAGACAGAGAGGCACCAAGGAAGGGGAATATTTTTGGGGAAAAAGTGGGGGAAGGTGAAGAAAAATACAGACAGGCCGAGTCTGAGACTTTACCAGCCACCCGAGAGAAACGTTCCCACTGGCAGGTTGTCTCTGGGATCTAGATGTAGGTTTAAGAATGAGCTTTCTACAGCTGTTAACCAAAGACATGGGAGAGTCAGACGTCCCAGTGACGGTGTGTAACACACAAAGACAGAGGCACCACTACCAGAACCCCAAGGACTGTTCACAAGGGATAAGGAGAGAAGAAAGCCCATGGAGACTAAGCAGCAGCAGCAACAAGGGAAGAAACTACAGTGTGCCAGATGGATAGCACCTGGAAACGCTGCCAGCACCCAAGACTTGGAGTAAAGAGAAAGCACAAGTGTCCCCAGCAAAGGGATAGTCAGAGGAAGAGGCCCAAGCCTCAGTGAAAGAAGGCAGTTATGCGAGAAACTCTGGGGGCCTTCAGATGGTGCCATGGACCAAAGGCACAGGCAGAGGCCCAGACGCGGGATGGCCCTGTGGGAGGCAGAGTCACTGGGAGACCAGTGCCCAGTGCACCTCAAAGCACAGAATGGTTGAACTCAGGAAAGGCCTAGACTGCGGCAATCCAGGCAGCAGTGGGTGCAGCCTTGGCCCGGGACAGAGGGGTGCGCCCGGGGTGTGCTGTCAGGAGGCAAGTAGGAATGACCACACCCAAACTGTGAGCCAAAGGCAGACTGAACTCTGGTCTTCTGGCCCCACCTTAATAATGTCCTATCATGTTGCGTGGTAGTAGTCAGGCCATGTGTCCCCAGCCAAAAACATGAATCGGCATTCTTGGAAAAGAACTGAGTTATGACAGGTGCTGCACGCGCTCTGTGGGCACTTCGGCCGGCAGATGCCTTCTCCTCCTGTTCAGATCCCTGGAATAGTTCCAAGCAACTGCAGTCAGTGCCATCAGAGGCGCCTCAAACTGTACCGAAGACCCTAGCAAGGCGAGTCAGAGGAAACGTGAGTCAAAACCAACACAGCTGCCAGCGGCCTGGCTCCCCGTCTAAACGTTTTCACTTCTCAGAAACTTTCATGCAATTAATTTATAAGAGAGAAAAAAAGCAGCCCAGGCATGTGACTGCTGCAGACCCATGGCACACCAGAGCCCGGCATGCCAGGTGCTGTCACACAGGATCCTGTCTGGGGGCAGCACAGCACAGTGGCTGAGGGGGGCTCGGTGCCTCCAGGGGACCAATCCCAGCTCTGTTGCCTGCCTGCCATGGACTCTGGGGATATTACTCCACCTCACTGCACTTGGCTCTTCCTGAGGAAAGCTGCAATGATGACAGTGCTGCCTCACGGAACAGCTATAGAGTGGAACTAGACGATCTGTGGCAAGTGCTGGGGAGTGAGCCTGGAACACCAGAAGGACTCAAATCTCAGTTGCCATTCCTATAACTGCAATGATCATTTAAAAGCCAGCATCCAGAACAAAACCAGTGCCACCGCGCGGCAGCCAGCCTATGCCTCATGAACACTCACGCATCCGTGTGGCCCCAGTCAGTTCCTCTACTCACCTAGGGCGCGCCCAGGGCCAGGTGCACCAGCCCTGCAGACCCCATGGGGAAGCAAGGGGTCTGTCTCAGCCTTCACGCCCAGGGCTCCAGGACACAGCTAGGACAGGCGGGCTCCAGCAACAGTGTGATACATGGACAAGGGCATGCAGGGGAGGGGCAAGGCACGATGCCTCTGACAATGGGAGTGGTTAGAGTCCGCATGACATCGGAGGATAAGAATCAGAAACACCAAAAACCACTGAGAAAACCAACAGATTAAGATTCCCTGGTAGAGGCATAGGAGGAGACACCTCTCCCACCAACGGGGCAGGAGTGGGAGGTGCCACGGAGGACGCTAGCTGTGTAGGCTGAGGGACAGGCAACTGGAGGGTTTCCATCTGAACGCTTCTCCTTCCAGCAGTCCGAAGCGAGACCATAGGCTAATAGAAAATGTGGTGGGGCCAGGGAGAGATTTTAGGAATATGAAGGAGGGCTGAAATAACCATTGCCTAGAATATAAAAAAGAAGCTAACCCCCAAGAAGCCTTAATTAGCAAAAATTTCCATATTATTAAATATGCATTAAGAGTTAGTGTGTATAAAGGTTAAGAAAATGGACTCTGGATCCACCAGCCTGGGTTACATCTCAATTCCATTAATGAATACCTGTGTGACCTTGGGCCAGTTGCTTAGCCTCTCTGAACCTCAGTTTCCTCATCTGTAAATTAAGAGTATTAATAGTACCTTCCTCAGAAAGTTTCCATCTTTGATTAGATTAAATACAAACAGATTAGTCTAGCAAACAACAAATGCAACAAGAGTTTCCAGGAATAATAATTATTATTATTTTTAATATCACGCAACCTTATGAGGAAGATAAATTTCTCCTTCAATTTTTATTCTTTAGCAAGTTGAAGTCCTTATCTCTCCGTCTGTCTGAATCTGTATCTTACTAGGAAGGCCTAGTTCATACTCTATGTTCTCTGTGAAGTTTCCCTTGACCACCACTAGCCTTCCTCTTAATTACTGGAATACTAATCATCTACACCTCCCATGTGCCATTTGACACACACACACCACCTACAAATCTTGCTTTATAGTTCAATGCTTTGCTTTTGTAACTGGATTGAGAGGGGGGATCTTACTGTGTCTCTGCCCACACTGACAAGGTCTACTGCAATGTCAATACAACATGGGCATCTGACGCAGCTCACACAGGTTGATAGATACCAACCCCAAAGACATTTGATAACCATAACCCACCTGATGATTAAATTGTCCTCACCAAGGGTCACAACGGTGGCTTCTGTGGCTTGGAGAGACATGAGTTTGGCCAGGGCTTCTGAGGTTTTGCTCTAGGAAATAACCAGAATGTGAAATGAGAGCTATTGAAAGCAGACCTGTCCAAACGCAGCCTGAGAGTCACAAGCGTGGTGTTAGAGACAGCTGGTGTGAGAGAAACAGTCGCATGGCACAATAAAAGGTTCTGCAGGTGGGCGTTACTTGCTATCCACCACACATGGCCACATGTGTCACTTTCACACTGATGTACAGTGCCTGTGCCACCAACGTCTGGGAATTACATTTCAGCTTGGAAACAAACAGTCTTCCCACTGATCCTTTTTTTTGCGGTTCAATCTAATTTCTTTTAGGGCCTGAGTTCCATTCTCTTATAAGATACGTTTCAGTGTTGGGGACAATGGAGGGTGTTAAAAATGGCATGACCTTGAGGAGGATGTAGGGATTTCTAGACCAACTATATACTCAGTTTTGCACTAAGAGACAATATAGGCTCTGACCTGAAGGTCAGGGTTCTTTAGTTTACACAATACACCTGAACGATGGTTTTAATAATTAACCAGATTAGCTGGGATTTCAGAAGTAGTGACCAATTTGGAGATTAGTGACTAGAGCACCTTAATTATATGGAGGTTTCTTGTTTCTTTAAGTATGTCTCTATGCTGTGTATAATTAGTAATTCTAAACATGGTGTTCAGAGGAAGTGAGATTTGTTTACTGAAGGGGCAGCTCTTTTCTGAACCCGAAGCTGCTGTTACCTTTGCCAAGTGTTCCAGCCACCGCCCCAGGGCAATGAACACGAAGAGCATGGGGGGCGTGTCGAAGAATGTCACAGGGCTCCTCTCTGCCTTCTCGGCCACAGCAACCACCAGGATGACCAGAGAATAGACGTAAGCAATGCTCGTGGCCAGGACAATGAGCACGTCCATGTTGGCTGACCTGTGTCTCAGAGATTTGTAGGCCTGAACGTAGAAGTACCACCCGCCGAGGACCTGAAAGACGAGGACAGTGAAGGCTGCCAGCACGTAGGGAGGAGAGTTCAAGGAGCAACACAGGGCCGAGTGCCCTTGGGATGGCAAAGCCTCTAGCTTTGTGCACAGTCTTGACATTACTTCTTCCTCTGTGATGTGCGTTTATGAAATATACTTTCCCATTCAGAGGACTACTGTCCACAGGAATGGGATGACCAAGAGCATGTGAGACCCTGAAAGCCCAGTGCATACGACACAAATGTCTGCTAATAAGAGAATGGTGAAACATTAGGGGGAAAAATCACGACTCATTTATACCGTACACAGTACAAGGCATTCCACTCCCTAAAGAGAATGAGCTCTATCTATAAGCCACTGGCATAAAAGATGTCTAATACATGGTTAAGTGAAAAAGCCAGTTGCACATCAGTCTATCTCATATGATCCCATTTCAGTTAAAAAAGTCTGTATCTGTATTATGTGAACATACACATACACACAAGTGTGCATTTTCTCAATATAAAGATTTGGAGAGATTCATGCCCAAATGCCCAACTATTAATATTACCATAGCAACACTGGGGAATGAGATTGGGCAGGAGGCAGAATGTGATTAGTGAAAAGGCATCTTCCCCTTTTCTTCTAATACTTCAGTATGGTTTGACTTGTTAATAATAGTGTACATTACACTTATAATCAAACAAAATATAGAAAACCACAAATTCAGGTGGGGGGCAGTGGCTCACACCTGTCATCTCAGTGATTTGGGAGACTGAGGATGGAGGACTGCTGGAGGCCAGGAGTTTGAGACCAACCTGAGCACATAGCAACACCCTGTCTAGCCAGGCATGGTGGCAGGTGCCTGTGGTCCTAGCTACTCAGGAGGCTGAGGTGGGAGGATTGCTTGAGCCCAGAAATTCAAGACTACAGTGAGCAACGATCATATCACTGAACTCACACCACAGCCTGGGTGACAGGGTGAGATCCCGTCTCGGAAAAAAAAAAAAAAAAAATCCAGCCTACCAATGCTTGCCCCCAAATAGCCCCTGAACATTCCAATATTAGGACAGGGATTTAGTTTTATATTCCAAAACATATGCATAGAGGCACACTTCCCACCAGACGCACAGCTAGTTCCTTAATATCACCACCAAAGCAGACGTTTCATATCTTTCTCTTTAAATTATAACTTCGACCGGGCGCGGTGGCTCAAGCCTGTAATCCCAGCACTTTGGGAGGCCGAGACGGGCGGATCACGAGGTCAGGAGATCGAGACCATCCTGGCTAACACAGTGAAACCCCGTCTCTACTAAAAAATACAAAAAACTAGCCGGGCGTGGTGGCGGCGCCTGTAGTTCCAGCTACTCGGGAGGCTGAGGCAGGAGAATGGCGTAAACCCGGGAGGCGGAGCTTGCAGTGAGCTGAGATCCGGCCACTGCACTCCAGCCCGGGTGACAGAGCGAGACTCTGTCTCAAAAAAAAAAAAAAAAAAAATTATAACTTCCTCAAAGATTAAGGACCATGTCTCCACCTTTTAAGATAGAACACTCAAGAGCAGCATGGGCTCAAGGGTGATCCAGTTGTTGCTTCCAACGATGAATGTAAATTAACCTAAACAATATGTAAATTGGAGACAGAGTTCACCACACCTTGCAGCAAGGAGGTTGCTATTCCAGGGACAGTCCTGATTACTTGAAATCAACTGAAACTGACAGTGAAACCAGGCCCTTACTAGTCCCCCACATTGGAGGGTCCCCAAGCCCCACCTACTAGTCATAAGAGAGAAAAAAAGCAGCAACTGCCTGGGTGGGGCATCAAAGCTGCAATAAAGTGCCATTTAAACAAGCTAAAGGGCTATGTTTGCGCTTAGCAGGCAGAACATCTGAGGGCCACACACAGCATGGAGGGGAGGGGTCTGCCCACCTAATACATACCTGGACAAAGGTGCACAAGATAAAGAAGATGAGATTTAGAATGGACAGTCCTGGAATGAGGTTGTGGTCCAGGACCATAGACTGGTGGGGCTGGTTGTTGGGTATCAGCATATAGATCATTAAGGCCATGACAGGGATGCCAAACACCAGGCTGCACAGGAAAGACTTCTTCCACCTGGAAAGCAAATGCAACAACACAGATATATCAGATGCTGCTTGTCACCTGGGTTACAAGCCACTCCCCTCCTGAGGACTCAGTTTAAGACCTGCCTTTGTCACATGCCTGGAACAGACCAAGGGTTAAAATGAAAGTAAGACCCTCTCTTTCTGACACTGGCCATCTGAGGGAGCATCTAGAGGTCTAAACATCACTACAAGGAGGTTCCAGAGATGTTGAGGCCCAGCCCCCACCTTCACATACTGTGGTTACCTTCCATTTATGGGTGAGACAACTGAGGCCCCAAAGCTGAGAATAGCCCCAAAGAGGACTACCATCCTCGGCCTATGGTTGCCTTAGCTCTCTTTTCAAAACGCAATCTTATACAGACTCCCAAAGAAAAAACAGATAAAAGCAGTATTTTATTGATATAAACTTATACATTCAATTTTTAAACAATTATTTAAAATAGAGTCCATGAGAACAGTGACCACTGGCTGTCTCAACGAACACCATAGTTTGGAATCAGGGGTCATGGCCAACAGCTGTGGTCTCATGTTAGCTGCAGCATCCATGAAATTCCAACTGAGTGGTTGTGGAACCTCAAATGCACCTAAAACATGACATGAAAACCACCGGCCTATGAGGCTGAAGTCTTAGGCTGTTAGACTGCTACTCAAGAACCAGACCACCAACTGGCTGTCCAGATGCCTCTCCTGTCAGCTCCTCCTGTGCCCCGGGCATGCCTACTGAACCAAGCCACAGCAGTCCCCGAGGGTACCCCCGACCAATTCCTTCAATCAAGCAAACTTCCACTCATTCTTTGAGGCTCAGATCTTATGTCCCCTGCTTGGAGTTTTCCTAGACCTTCCAGAATCTGCCAGAGCCATTGATTTCATTACTCACTCACTCTTTCTCAGCCAGACTACGGGCTCCTCCAAGACAGGGAAGATATTTATCCCCGCACCTAGCACATTGCCCTGAACACAGCAGCAGCCTTTATGGTGCTGAATGAGTAAGTGGCCATCTGAAACAATGAATGATCTCAGGTCTCCCGCTCCTGGGCCATTTTCTTTCCACTCAGTCATTATGCCTGTCCTCAAATTCTAGTTCTAGAACCCATGCAAATAAAGTTTGAAAACAATAACAAAGGAAAAAAATCTACACTCTCTCCCTCCCTCCCAACTTAAGTGCTGTCCAATCTGTTAGCCAAAGGTAGTTAAATTGAAATTCCTTAAAAATTAAAAATTAATTTCCATAGTCACACTAGCTGCATTTGCTACATGTGATTAGCGGCTATCACACTGGGCAGTGCAGACACAGAACACTGCCATCATTCCAGAACTTCTTTCAGACAGCACTGTTTTAGAGGGTTCATATTACAAGGGTAAAAGCAGCTAATCCAGGAGGAAGGCACCATGGGAAGACAGGACCAGCAGGCAGAGTTGGGCCCAGGTAGAAGAAGGCACTTAGATGAGAGCTAGAGTTTATATTTTGTGTTCTACCTACTGCTTTATTTCCATCTTGTGGTCCAAGTGATGAGCGTTGGGGATTCTCTGGGCCAGGGAAGCATGAAAGCCAATTTCCTTGTCATTAAAAAGAGAGGGGTGGGGGAAAAGGAGGAAGGTACTTGGTTAAAACATGCATTGGTAGAAAGCACTTTTCAGCTTTGGAAATTAGAAAGTTAATCTAAAAGTGCCTCAGAAGACTTTGTGGGCTTTCTGCTCACAATTTCTTTACCCTTAGCCCTACAAACCCTGTGCAGAAGTTTAGCACTTCTGGGAAGACAGCTTCCCCCGACCCCAAAGCTGAGCAGTGCTGACTTATAATTTATACTCAGCATTTCTGAGTGAAGGAATCCCAAATACCTAATGGCCAGAAACCTTCAATCCATGTATGAGGAAACAGAAGGTTGGAGAGGATAAATACCTTGCCCAAAACCCCAGCCTTCTCAGAAGAGCTGGACCCAGAGCTCCAGCCTCCAGCTTCCAGTCCAGGCTTCTTGCCACTGTGGCAGAACTTGGCTCCTTCAGCAACTGGAAGCACAGCTTCCGCTGTGCCCCAACAGAGTCTACACCGCAATCTTGTGCTTTGCTCACAGTTAAACTCGAGCGCTTTGTTACCACGTTCATCTGACCACTGTATCTCTGATACTCTTTATGAATAACACACAGGAAAAACTGCCAGGAATGCTCTTGTCTGGTAGCACAATTAAGAGAAGGGCCCCAGAACTCTGGTGCTGTGACTTTTACACAAAAATTAAAAGTTGGGGTGGGAGAAAGAGCAGCTGAGACTGTCTAAAGACAAATCCTTTTACAACTAATACCAGCCTAATTATATTAGGAAAAAAATGGCCCAGAGATGCAAGAATGGAGAACAGACATTAGCAATATTCCCCAAATAAGGTCAGCATGGATGCTGCACTACACTTAGCAGGTTGGGTAGGGTCGAAGCAAGTGAGATATCAGAAATCAGAAAGGGTTGGCCAGGCGTGGTGGCTCATACCTGTAATCCCAGCATTTTGGGAGGCCAAAGCAGGTGGATCACCTGAGGTCAGGAGTTTGAGACCAGCCTGACAAACATGGCGAAACCTCGTCTCCACTAAAAATACAAAAATTAGCTGGGTGTGGTGGTGCATACCTGTAATCCCAGCTACTTGGGAGGCTGAGGCAGGAGAATCACTTGAACCCGGGAGTCAGAGCTTGCAGTGAGCTGAGACTGTGCCACTGCACTCCAGCCTGAGCAACAAGAGCAAAACTCTATCTCAAAAAAAAAAGAAAAGAAAAAAATCAGAAACGGTGACAAAGCCATGTTCAAAGGCACCACGTGGGACTCTCCTTGCTGTTGACTGCATCAGTCTGATGTCTGAGCCTCATCAATGCCATATCACTACTGTTCTTTAAGATTTGTGGTGTACTAGACTCACAAAGGCCACTGAGCTCGAAAGCACAAGACCTGGGTTTGAGCACCAGTTCTGCTGTCCATGAGCTGGATACTGTGAGTAAAGTTACTTAACCTCTCTGAGCATCTTTCCTCAGCTGATAAAAAAGCTGTGTTGTCTGCCTTCAAGGGTGGAGCCCTGGACCATCAGCAGCAGGATCATTTCCACGTCAAAAAGCTCTCCCGGGGCTGGGCACAGTGGCTCACATCTGTAATCCCACCACTTTGGGAGGCCAAGGCTGGTGAATTACCTGACATCAGGAGTTGTAGACCAGCCTGGAAAACATGGTGAAACCCCGTCTCTACTAAAAATACAAAAATTAGCCAGGCATGGTGGCAGGCACCTGTAATCCCAGCTACCTGGGGGACCGAGGCAGGAGAATCACTTGAACCCGGGAGGCGAAGGTTGCAGCGAGGCAAGATCGCACCATCGCACTCCATCCTGGGGGACAAGAGCAAGACCTTGTCTCAAAAAAAAAAAAAAAACCAAACCAAAACAAAAACTCTCCCAGGCCGGGCACAGTGGCTCACGCCTGTAATCCCAGAACTTTGGGAGGCTAAGGCAGGCAGATCACCTGAGGTCAGGAGTTTGAGACCAGCCTGGCCAACATGGTGAAACCCCATCTCTAGTAAAAATACAAAAATTAGCCAGGCATGACGGCACACGCCTGTAGTCCCAGCTACTTGGGAGGCTGAGGTAGGAGAATTGCTTGAACCTGGGAGGCAGAGGTTGCAGTGAGCCGAAATCATGCCACTGCACTCCAGCCTGGACAACAGAGGGAGACTATCGCAGGAAAAAAAAAAAAAAAACCTCTCCCAGGCCATATAACAGACAGCATCTCTCTGTAAACACACACACACACACACACACACACACACACACACACAGAAGAGAAAATTCAGGATACTACATTAATCCTGCTATAATAGGTTTCATTTCATAGGCAATTTCATAACATGTAGTTCCCACTAAACTTAATTTATCCTTACTAGCTGTTACAATTTAGTCTTGTTCAGTTTTGACGGCCTTAACCCATTCAGATCACCACTGATGCTCATTCTCTTATAGTCTAGTATTGTATAAACTGTAAAAAGGAAATGGCATGTCTATGGACAAACTGGGAAGGGAGTAAGAGGCAGGGCATGCATGAAAATTCTCACTGATTTTCCAAAGCAGAAGCGGCCAAGCTCTCCACCACAAGACTGGCCAACTGGCCTGGCACAGTGGCAAAATGTGGTATCATTTTTCCCAAGGCCAACATTCCTTTGCTCTACAGATACTTGGTTTGGGCACAGATCACATTTAAAAATTACAATTAGGCACTTTAACCCTATGTACAGAGTATCTTGACAATATTGATATTTCTTAGGGAATATTTAAAATTAAAACAATAATAATAATGTCTTTTCCTCATCTTTCTCTTACCCATTCACTGATACCCTCTCTCAGATTATTTACTATTTACTTACCTTCCGTTTATTTTAAAATGCCTGAGCTTATTTCCATGGGAAAAGTCAAAGAATTTTAGGTTATTTTCATTTTTTCTCAGCTATATTTTCTCATTTCTCTTCACTGATTATATATTACTGTTTTTAAAAAGGTGAGTACAATTTTTTATTGAATGACTTACCTCAATAATTTTGATAATATCCCGTGGACCGATAATTTCCGGGTCAAACTTAACAAGGGCTTTGCTGGTGGCAAGGGCAACGGAGGCATAAGTGATGCCATTCGTCCTCGTGAGTTTGGACTCTATGTTGTGGACACAGGACGCGCAGGTCATCCCTGTGATCTGCAACAAAGGATGGCAAGAATCCCACAGACCCAGGATCAAGGTGGCCTGTGAAAGACAGTCTGGGGAGTCTGGGTAACAGGCAGCTATGAGCCTTTCCCTCCTCAGCACTGCTCTCGAGACCCTGGACTATACCTCCAAACACCGCGTGTGAGATTCTCAACGTTCCTCCAGCGGCTTCAGGGACTAAACAGTAGCTCTTTCCCAAAACAGGCACAGAAGACAGCCAATCACGAAGCAGATGGCAACAGACCAAGGCTTGACTTCCGGCTCTGATACGGATGGGTTTTTATAAGCCCCTCTCCACTGTCTGTTACCTCACTGCAAAGCCGGGATACTAATGCCTGTATGGGGAAGTGAACTTCTGTGAAACTCGCTGCACTCCTGAAATACTCTCGGTAATCCCAAGTGTTGCTGGCATGTGGTCTGCAGCTACTGCTACCATCTTCCCTATTTTAGAGCTCTGCTGGCTCCAAGGGTGATGATGTTAATACCTCTTATTAATAGGAGAAAAGTGGCTGATGCAGGAGATGTAATCAAAGGTGGTCCCAAGGTACAAACAGGGTGTTGACAGGTGAAGGGAAGGATGCTACCAGAAGGAGAAGCTCCAAAAAGACAAAAGGCAGGATAGCATGAGGTGTTCAGGCAAACATCAAAAGCCAGGCTTATCTGGGCACAGGATGCCCAAGGGAGAGGATGGAAGGCTGCAGGGCTGGCTGGGTCCACAGCCTGAAGGCTTTTGAGCAGCCAGCTGAAGTGTTGCTAAGCTAGCACCTGATGTGAAGTCACTGAGGGGTAATGAGCACTGGAATGACGTGACTGGAGCTGCATGCTGAAATTCACATCAGTGATCCCAGAATACAGAGCCAAGGGTCCCGTCTGGAATTAGGGAGGAGGAAGAGGGGAGCTCATCTGTAATCAGAATGCATTCAACTTGGCCCAAGACCCAAGGTAAAAATGGGAATGCAAGGACCACTGGGCAAACTTAGGAGCTTACCTGTTGGCAGGTGACTGCCAACAGAATTTTAAAAATCAAGTCTCCAAATATTTCTATGGTACTTCTCTGCTCTCTGCTTGTTTTTATAACAACAATAATAAGAAGTAGCATTTATTGTGCACTTGCAAAGTGACTGGTGCTGTCCTAGGCCTTGTGCTGCTCACACCAAAACTAAGAGGTAGGTCTCAAAACCGCAGTACTGAGAGGTTTAGGAACTTGTCCAAAGTCACACAACCAGTGACAGGTAGAGCTGAAGCACGTCCCCAAATGGGCTGGCTCCAGAATCTGCTTCAAGTCACTGCCATCTGCAGCATGAGACGAATCTTCTCAGACCAGGTTCGGAAGTACCCCTGCAGCGACAGGGCCAAAACCCAAACCCAGTTTTTAAAGCCTACACTGCTTGTGCCATACCATGCTGTGCGTCCTGACATGGGAAACGGAAGTCTTAAGTGTGACGTGCTATTCCTGGGATATATATTAGGCAAATATGAAGCAAATAGACAATTCACTCTTCTGAGGATCAGTGGTCAGCATTTCCTAGAAGACCAGTTAAATACAGAAGTTAACATAAAATCTGAATATGTGATGACAATGTAACTATTAATACAGCATGGTTTTTTTTTAAAAAAGAACACTGCAATAAAAAAAACACTGTTTAAAAGAAATGTGCACCTTTTCCAATAATCCTCTTGCTTTAGATTTTCCACATAGAAGTCTGAGCAGGCAGAGATGTCCCCATGCAGATCCCAAGGTTTGCAGCAGATACCCTGCCCCTCTTGTTGGGCACCTCTTGTGGGGCTGACCAAAGCTGTGATGCAGCAAGTATTAGCTGTGCCCTCCAGACACAGAGAGGCCCTACCAGAGCGAAGGGTTTGCTCCACAAAGAACATGGCTGCTCAGGAGCTCATGGGCCTCTGTGTCCTCAATGCTTTCCCCTCAAACATCCAGTTACCACTTATGACTGACAAAACACGAAGGAAGTAGAAACCCTCTGATGACCTGGGTAAAGCAGCGTCGTCCAATTCTCTGTGAGTTATTCTAAGTCTCCCTCTGCTTATACAAAAAGAGCTATACAAAAAGTACAGAAGTGCTTTCAAACATAGCATGTTCTATGCATCAGATACACCCATTGTTTCCGATAATGTGTTAGCATGTAGACAGATAGGAAACAATACCTCCCCACCCCAAACACTGGCAACAATCACCACCTGGAACATTCCCCTCAGACTGAGTGTTGTGGAGCACTTTGGCCCTCTAGACACCCATGCACCTATCATAAGTCCTTTTCTCTTAGAACAGCACTTGCTACCACATGGACTTCCCTCTACTGCCTTGAGATAGTTGCAGGCATGCTAGTTTCTTTTTAGGCTTGAAGGACTGTGTTCATGTTCAACTCCCCCTAACCACCCAGCTCAGGGCAGTCCACCGTCTTTAATTCCTCTTTCTTCTATACTCCTGCAGCTCATCATCTCTTCCTCCTAACACCCCGAATACTCTCAGTGGGATCCTTCCCATGACTGTTTAACGTAACTGACCTTTCTCAAAACGAACAAGTCATTGTTGTCGGCTTCAAAGGAAGGTGAAACAAACAAAATACCCAACAACAACAAACCAGACATGTCCAAGATGGGGAAATTTACTAATCACAAAGATGGATGCTGTCCAAAATGCAAATTGTCAGAAGAAGCCTGTAACCCCGAAATGCACCCACCGTACTTACTGTCAGCTCAATGTTGCCATCGGAGCCTGCGGAGTCCTCCATGACTGCTGCCTCAAAGCCCAGTTCCTGGATTAACTGAGCTATCTCAAGCGGCTGAATGACCTCCGGGTCATATTTGACCTCTGCCTTTCCTGCCATCAAGGCAACCAACACGGAGAGAACACCTGGAACCATCAGGTCATGGCTGTAACACTCTGGGTGGGCAGGACCTCCAGGGTGACACAGTCAACATAACCGAACAAAGAAACACATCTTCCCAGAATCCTCTAGAACAGCAGTTTTCAAACACGGCTGCACATGAGGATTGCTTGGAGAGCCTTTAACAATCACGATGTCTGATCTCTAACCCAGACCAACCTAATCAGAGTCTCTCGGGGTAGGTGGCAGGCATCTTTCTTTCTTTCTTTTTTTTTTTGAGATGGAGTCTCATTCTGTCACCCAGGCTGGAGTGCAGTGGCATGATCTCAGTTCACTGCAACCTCTATCTCCAGGGTTCAAGCGATTCTCCTGCCTCAGCCTTCTGAGTAGTTGGGATTACAGGCATGTGCCACCATGCCTGGCTAATTTTTGTATTTTTAGTAGAGATGGGGTTTCACCATGTTGGTCAGGCTGGTCTTGAACTCCTGACCTCATGATCTGCCCGCCTCGGCCTCCCAAGGCATCACTTTTTTAAGAAAAGTTCCCCAGGTGATCCTAATGTACAGGGAAGTTTGACAGCCACTATTCTAGAAGAACGATGCTTCTCAAACTTTAATGGACATATGAATCACCCGAGGACCCTGTTAAAATAGAGCTTCTGACTAGTCGGTCTAGGAGGAGGTTTGAGTTCTGCAGGTCCATCCAGCCCCCAGGTGATGCTCATGCTGCCAGCATATGGACACATTCTCACTCAGGCTTTAGAAGACACCAATGGAGTAAGTAGTGTGGTCTGCAGTTATTGACTGCTGTTACAGAAAGGATATCTTTTTTTTTTTTTCCTCCAGACACTTTCATACAAGGAAAAAATAAAGAATTTTCAAAAGTGGTTTTCCTTACTATTTTATAGTTTCTAATGACTTTCAGGTATGAAAAAGAAATCCCACAATCTTGCTAACACTATTGTGTTAGTTTAACATGGGGAAAAAAGCCTCATGCAAATAAATGAAAGGAATGAAGTGCTTCAGAAAGGATGCCACACGGGATAAAAATGAGGATTCAAGTCAGGAACAGAAACATAGGCTACAGGAGATTATAGGCTAATTTTATGAGCAGTCAGACCATGAATAACAAATGATCTCCTATTAACACCTCTATCTGCTAACAGTCACTCTAGAGCTGCAGGAAGCTATAATGCATAGTGAACAAGAGGCTGGAAAAACATGTCATCTGAATTCAGGGTCGATTCTAAGGGCCAGGGAGTTCAAGTAAAAAGACACGTCACTGGGGTAAGAAAAGAGAAAGTGATTCTGGTGGCAAGGTAGAGTCATGGTTAAATTTTCCAAACAAATGGGACAGAATTTTGTTGTACTTTCAAGTTTAAAAGTATTGGAAATGCATTCTGGAGGACAAAACTTTGACATTTCCACACATTCCTGTCTTGTTGTTTCTGCAAACACTCTCTGGTTTATAGGAACAACAAGAAAGAATATTTGAAATTGGAACTTCTATACAAAATGCAGGTTATTTATTCATTTTATAGTAAGGGGTTGATAGGATGAGAGGGAACAAAATATGGAATAATACTAGCACAATCTAATTGAGAAGTCTATCCATAGAAGGTACCATGACCTTTAAACTGGATTTTCAATGGCTAACTTACTCAGAGATATATTTTATCTCAAACTAAATACTTCCTAAAGAACAGACTGCCAGTTATATGAGGACATTAGACAAACATCTATGCTATATAATGAACTTGCTACCTGGTTATCGGGGCTACTGATAAACACAGTTGCTGGATATTCTGAAGGGAGTATATGAGGTCTATAAGCAGCATTCCTAAGTTCAAGATGGGCGTTCACCTCTTACCAGCTTCCTTCTGCAGATTCCTTTCTATGTTGGACACACAGGACGCACAGGTCATGCCTTTGATCTGTAAGAAGCACTTCTGAGGTGCCACTGCTCTGGTTGATTCTGGGGACTTTGCCCAGATGTCTGGGAGATGGTTTGTAGGGAGACTCCCAGCGTGGAGAGCCACTTCCTGCACAGATGTAGGTGTACCACCTGTAGTTTGCACCATGGAATTCCCAGCACTGTGGTTTCCAAGAGGGCTAGTAGAACAGTTTTCTAGGATAAAATGTCAGAAAATATTCAAATCAGAAGAACAAATAATATGTTTTTCAGAACAAGAGGTTTCAGGGCTTTTGGTGAGGGTTCATGGTCCCGGCTCCCACCAAGCAGTCTCAGTCCCTGGGCTCCAGTAACAACCTTGTTCCTCAGCCACCATGGAGGAGGGGGCTTCCTGCTGTTGTTAATCTGTGGGGTTCTTCCCATTGCGTATTTGGATTTCCAGCTCTCTAACACCTTTGTAAATAGTTCTCTGTATTAAATCCCTCCACTGAGCTACCCTGTAACTTCACCTTAACTTTCATGTCCTTCAGGAATACCTACTGCATGCGGGGTGCTATTGAGTCCAAGGAGAAACAAAGAAACCGCAAGGCTGTCCTCAAGGAGCTCCTAATCAATCGAGAACGGCTCTTCAAATACAAACTGGCACACTAATGGTTTATTCTAAATTAAAGTTGCCAGGTAAAATACAAGACATCCAGTTAAATTTGATTTTCAGACAAATAACAAATAATTTTTACTATACATATGTCATGAATATTGAGCGGGACATGTTTATACTAAAACATCATTCATTGTTTATGAAAAATTAAAATTTAAGTAGATGTCCTATATTTTTATTTGCTAGGTCTGATACCCTAAATACCTCTTGGGCTAAACATAATTCTCATAATCCTGCCCAATCAAAAAAAAAAATCACTATTCTTTTCTTTCTAGGTTTATTTAATCAAATCGAGTTATTCTGTAATATGTAGCTTAACGCTAATTTCTTTTTACCACTTCATGTTAACTTCTTTTTACCTGATTGCACGGTTGAAAGACTTTAAACATCACACAAAAACAGGCAGATGTTTACCTTATACTATATTTCTCACCTTTTGTGTACAGGATTTACTGTTCTACTGTGTTTTCCTTATTGATTTTTGTTTTAAAGAAACTCCTTCCTGAAACTTGGTACAAAAGACAAAGCACAACACAGGCCCAGGCCACTTCACACGAATGCCCGCTCCCTTCAGCAGTGGGTGTGTGCTGTGGGCACAGAGGGGAGGCAGAAAACACTCACAGCTGAGTGAACTTTTCAAGGAACAAACTTTATCTCAGTGACCACAAGAAACTATGTGGGAAACCAAAGTCCAGCCATCCCTGAGCGCTGAGCTGCTGGTAGGCTTGCCTGTGCCGCCAAAGGCAGCTCTTTCTAGTGCTGGGCCCGCTGCCCCCTACAGTACCGAGTACCAGCCAAAAGGCCGAGGAAGCCAGCCATGTCCTGGTCCAGTCCACAAGACACGCACGTGCAGGGCCCATGTCTGGGACCTAATCGGTTACAACACACCACCCACAAGCTGCCCCTCACAACATGTGCCCCTTCCCTCCTTACCTTCAGCATTTCTCCCAACCATCTCCACTCACCTATCACCCTCTTTATCCCTAATTTAAGCTACTAGTGGTCTCCACCCTTACCACCAGCCAGGCTGGGCTCCCACCTTCCCAGGGTCCTGAAGCAGCTGCTGAGGTCTCCAACGGCCTCCCCTAGTTAACCCGGGAAGATACGACTCAGACTTTGGCCTCTGCAGCTTGCATTATGTCCAGGGTGACTAGGAGACCCCTCCCCCTCCCTCTGCTTCTTTCCCATCCCACAGTCACTCTTCCTAGGTCTCTGTCATCTTCCCACACTCAATTCTGCATTTCCAGCCTGACACTCTCCCTCAAAATTCAAGGCCCTTCTATTCCACTGTCCTCCAGCATCTCAGCTAGGGGCTCATCCCAGTTACCCCTTTCCTCCATGGCCCTCCCCATTACACACCCCTCTTGGTGACGCCAAGCCTGGTGGAGCTGCCCTCCTGAATGTCTTTCAAACCCACCTCTTTCTCACCTGTCCTCCTATGTGGTCTCACTGCCTCAACGGACACTGTACCGTGACACCACACTGGTCTTCTAAAATATAATCTGACTTCGTGCTTCCTCTGATTAAAACCCATGATGGTGGCTGAGCATAGTGGCTCATGCCTGGAATCCCAGCACTTTGGGAGGCTGAGGCAGGAGGACTGCTAGAGGCTAGGAGTTCAAGACCAGCCTGGGGAACATAGCAACACTGCGTCTTTACAAAAACATAAAAATAAAAAAATGAACCAGGTGTGGTGGTGCACACCTGTAGTCCCAGCTACTCAGGAGGCTGAGGTGCGAGGATGGCCTGAGCCCAGCGGTTCAAGGCTGCGGTGACCTATGATCATGTCACTATCCTCCATCCTGGACAACAGGGCAAGACTGTGTCTCTAAAAAAATTTTTTTTTTATTTTTAATTAAAAAATAAAAAAGCCTGATGGCTCCCTCCCTTTACTTCTTCTCTTATATTCATCAAATGGGGAGAGAAACATCATTGATAAATCCTTTCCTTAACTCTCATTTTTACCAGCATAGCCTCTAGGTTATGACACTAAGGTTCTGTTGTCTAGCAATAAAACATTTTGAGAAGGTGATAATAGTTCTCTTGGTAAGAAAAGGGCCTGGATGGTCCCATAGTGTTCTATTTCAGGATATAGAATCAGAATTCTCTCCAGGAAAGAAGCCCAAATCCAAGGAGTTTAGCATTCCAGGCAGCCATGGTTTGAATGTGTCCCCCAAATTTCATATATTGGAAACATAATCCTCAATGTGGCAGTGTTAAAAGGTGAGGGCTTTAAGAGGTGACCGGATCATGAGGGTTCTACCCTCATGAATGGACTAATCCACTCATGGATTAATGGGTTATCAGAAGAGTGGCATCGAGGCTTTCTAAAAAGAAGAAGAGCCACCTGAGCAACCATGTGAGCATGCTCAGCAGCCCTGCCACGTGATACCCTGTGACACCAGAGTCCCCACTGGCAGCAGGCTCTCACCAGATGTGGCCCTCAACCTTAGACTTCTCAGTAACTATAAGAAATAAATTCAGTATCTTTATAAATTACCCAAATTCAGCCATTCTGTTATAAGCAACACAAAACAGACTAATACAAAATCCCAACTATATGAAAAGCAAAATCTAGACGCTTGGAAATTGTATTTCCTCTATCTTAACAAATTTAACATGCAAGGAAAGTTTGTAGGATTTTGTTCAACTGCTGACATGCGAGGCAGGGAGCAGGGCTCACCTACGCCACCATCCAGGAGCTATTAGACACAAAGAGAAAAGGAGACAAGCTCAGGACATACCTCAAACACACATCAACTACATACCAGAAACGACTGAAGCCTCAAATCCCATGTCTTCTATAGCAGCTCTGAGTTCTTCTGGGCTAATTACAGAGGGATTATAAAGAACTGTTCCAATCCCTTCGGCCAAAGACACCGATATTTGCTGCACCCCTTCCAGTTGGGAGATCATGCCTTCAATGGTATGGACACAGGATGCACAGGTCATGCCGGCAATGGCAATCAGAGTGGTACTGCATGTGCTCTGCCCCTGGTTTCTTGGGGAGGAGCCAGGGGAATGAGAACTGGAAGACCTGTGATCTGTCCCACTCCCTTCGGCTCCATCAGGAAGAGAAACTTTAAAGTTCCCAGGTGGAAGTGCCTCGATAGCCGTCTGCAGAGCCACTGGGCTGGTACGAGAAGGGTCATACTGTACTTGGGCAGTTTTGTTCTCCAAGGACACTCGAATACTTTGAACCCCTAGGAGTTGGCCGATATTTTCTTCAATATTCAAGACGCAAGACTTACAGTGCATTCCATCTATTCTCAGTTGGAGGGTGACCACATTCCTTCCTTGGTGTCCCAAGGTCTCAGAATTATTAAAATTCTGGTTAGCAGAAGATAAAGGTCTCTTTGGGTTAGTGCTTTCTAACCGCTCAATATCAATTGGTCCCAGGCTTAAGGGAGCCACTTTGTTCTTGATGGCAGTTTCAAATCCCATGTCATTTACATGGTCCCTGAGGTCTTCAGGCTGAATGAGATAAGGCTGATAAGTGATGACAGCCTCTTGGTTGCTGAGTGAGACTTTGACTTTCACTACTCCTTGCAGTTTCCGGACCTTGCCTTCAATGGAGCCAACACAGGACTGGCAGGTCATGCCCTCCACCCGGAGCTTGACCACAGCCTCCTGGGCAGGCAAGGACCTTGAGGGCCAGGAGGCTGCCTTTCCTTCTGCAATGCTGGCCTCGAAGCCCATGTCCCCAATTTGATGGCAAACCTGTTGCAGGCTCACAACTGATGGCACATATTTCACGGTGGCACTGCCTTGTTCCAGGGAAACCTTCATGCTCACGATGCCTTTCAAATTGGAAATTCTGTCCTCAATGGACTTCACACATGACTGGCAAGTCATGCCCAAGATCCTGATTGTGCTGGTGTCCACCTGAGAAGAAGGGCCCAGGCCATCCAGACCACCTTCGTAGCCAACATTGTCAAAAGCAAAACTCTTCTTCATTGCTGGTTCCCAGGCACGGGTGGGCAAAGAAAGCTTAGATAAGATCTAAAACGAAAAGAAATAACATTTTTTATCCTTTAAATATTTTCTACAACATCCCAGCTTCTCTGGCACTGAGAAAATGGAAAACAATGCCACTGGTGTCAAAACATCCCAAGGGTAGAAGAACATAAAATACACAGAAAGCAAGCTAAAGGCATCATCTATAAAATGAAGAGCTCTGACATTCTTCTCTGACAGAAGCTAACTGTCTGTCCTCCTTAGTGAAATGTCATTCTCACACAACAGACATGGAGGATTCTGAGGGAAAGAAGGAAAGCACGACACGGTTTCACACATGGAACGCAGCACGGCTGGCCTGCAGCACAGGCAGAGGGCACAGCGGCTCACAGTGGGAAGGCACAGGTATCCCCAAAGAGGTCCCCACCTCTGGCTGATACCTCCCCACAGAACTTAGTCCCTTCAACTCAAACTTTGGGGGTCCTGAGGAAATACAAACCCCAGAAGAGGCAACACCTTACTTCTATATCTCTTTCTAGGGGTGTCTGTCTGATTATCATAGCAGAGGTTAAACGTGCTTAACACCCTTCAGGTACACGCTCCAAATGCAGACTTTCCAGGCCCACACGCTCGGAATCCAAAGGTGGGCCACAAGCCTGTGAAAAAGCTTTGGAGGTATGCTCCCTGGGCGAGGTTTAATGAGCACCTGTGGCTGAGCCGAGGGGCAGGAGGGGAAAGGCTGGAAGAACAGGAAGTTGAGTTTCACGAGGAACTTCATAGTTCTGCCTGTGACTCGGTGTCACCGTCCTCCTGGGTGTTCAGAGAGCTGTAGCCATTACCTGAAATTTCAGGTGCATCACTTAATTAAAGAACCTGTTTTCTTAACATAACACAGTACAAGTGTTATTTCCTGGTTTCTACACGGGATGATGTAGTCTCAGTCATTCTATTAACAAGCAAAATCTTCCTTTCACAGGCTCCCAGCCTACAGCTGTCTTAACTAGATATACTTTTTATACCAGAACTTCTATGTGCTTCAGAAATTTGGAAACAGACCTTTATATATGACACATCACAAAAAAGCACATTTCTCCCTATTTGTACACAATCCTGCTTGTCTTCAGGTGAATCTCCTTCACATGGAATGATCTTCTCCTTTTTCCTGTGCATAAAATGCAGACCTTGCCAACTGGCTTTTGAGCAGCTTAACAACACAAATGTTTAAATAACTTCTAAAATGCAGACTGTATAAATGTTGATTTCTATATCCACAAAGGTTGGGGATTAATAATTACATGGAATTGTAAATATTCACTGTAGCATTTCCTAAGAGAAAAGAGGAATAATTAAGTAATTTGGGGGACAGCAGTTTAAAAGATATTGCTGAACTCAGTAAATACGTGAATGTTTAACAATGTTGTTTAAGGATGGTGATACATTCTGAGAAATGAGTCATCCTTGTGACTTCATCCTTGTGTGACCATCATGGAGTCACTTACACGCACCCAGATGATGTAGCCTACTACACACACCTGAGCTGTATGGGATAGCCTGTTGCTCCCAGGCCACACATCTATACAGCATGTTACTGTACTGAATACTGCATGCAATCGTAACACAATGGTAAGTACTTGTGTATCTAAACATAGCTGAACATAGAAAAGGTACAGTAAAAACACAATATAAAAGATTTTTAAAATGGTGCACCTGTATGGGGCACTTATCATGAATGGAGCTTGCAGGACTGGAAGTTGCTCTGAGTGAGTCAGTGAATGAGTGGTGAGTAGATGTGAAGATTTAGGACACTGCACTACTGTCAATTTTATAAACACTGTATACTTAGGCTCACTAAATTTATAAAAAACATTTTTCTTTCTTCAGCAATAAATTAACATAGCCAGACACAGTGGCTCATCGTAATCTCAATGCTTTGGGAGGCCGAGGCAGGAGGACTGCTTGAGCCCAGGAGTTCAAGGTTACAGTGAGCTATGACTGCACCACTATACTCTAGCCTGGGAGACAAAACAAGACCCTGTCTCTGAAAAAATAATAATAATTTATTAATTAACCTCGGCTTGCTGTAACTTTACTTCATAAACGTTTAATTTTTTTTTTTTTTACTTTCGACTCTTTTGTAATAACACTTAGCTTAAAGCACAAACACACTGGACAGCTGTATAAAATTTTCTTTCTTTATCTACTTATCCTATAAGTGTTAAAATTTTTTATTTTTAAACTAAGCCTTTTTGTTAAAAACTAAGACACAAACACATACATTAGCCTCGGCCTACACATGGTCGGGATCATCAATATAACTGTCTTCCATCTCTACATCTTCTCCCACTGGAAGGTCTTCGGGGCGATAACAGGCATGGGGCTGTCATCTCCTATAATAACAACACCTTCTTCTGGATACCTCCTAGGACCTGCCTAAGGCTATTTTACAGTTAACTTTTTCTTTTTATACGTAGAAGGAGTACACTCTAAAATAACAATGAAGAGTATAGTAAATACATAAACCAGTAACACATTTATTATTATTATCAAGTATTATGTACTGTACAGAATTGTATGTGCTCTATTTTTATATGACCGGCAGTACAGTAGGTTGGTTTACACCAGCTCACCAAAAATATATGAGTAATGCATTACTATGACATTATAACAGCTGTGAGATCACTAGGCAATAGGAATTTTTCAGTTTCATTGTAATATCACGGGACCAGTGTCATATGTGCAGTCCATCATTGACTAAAACATCATTATGAGGCACATGACTGTATAATAAGGATGACATGGTGTAACAATATTAACAGACAACTGACTAGCCACCTCAGACACCTATCTGGAAACCTATATGTCAAAAGACATTTCAGGCAGATCAAAGATTAAGATGTAAAAAAGAAATAACAAAAACACTAGAAGAAAACATAGGAGAATATCTACAATAATCTCAAATTGAGAAAAGCCTAAATATGACAAACAAACCAGAATAAAACCAAGAAAATCCAAAAGCTATAAAAAATTTGACATAACTAAATACCATAAGGACAAAAAATTACTCAAATGAAGTCAAAAGATAAATAACTGGAGGACAAAAGATTTGCTTCACATAGCATACATTAAGAGCCAATTTCTTTAGTACACACAGAATTCCTCCAAAAAAGCAAAAGGCCAATAATCCAAACAAAAAAGAAGACAGTTCATCAAAAAGGAAATGCATGTGGTTTTTAAAATACATGAGAAAATATTAAAGAGAAATGTAACATTCCAACCACATTGTGGTACAGCGCTCACCATTTGCTGCAGTGCACAGTCCTCCTACATTGCTAGTGGGAGTGTAACCTCTCTGGAGGGCAATTTGCAATACCTATTAAAATTACAAATTTACATACTCTTTTACTCAGCAACTCTACTTCTAAGAATTTACCCAATAAATATATTTGTTCATGGGCAAAAGGAAGCATGCCATGGAGATATTGAATGCTGCGAAACATTAGAAACATCAACATCTGTCAATAAGAGGCTAGTTAATTATTGTTCAGCCATAAATGGAATATTATTCAGCTCTTAAAATGAATGATGTGGCTCTGTATGTACTGAAATAAGCTGATATCTAATATACTGCTCAGCAACAAAAGCAAGGCACAGAAAATACCATATATATAGTATGTGTTTGTTATCTGTTGCTACATGACAAACCAAATTTAGTAGCTTACTAGCAAAAGCTCACAATTTTTCAATTCGTTCAGGGCTTGGCAGGGAAAGCTTGTCTCTTCTCCACATAGCACCACTGGAGGTGGCCTGAATGGGGTTGGCAGTTCCACTTCCAAGAAGATGGTTCATTCATGACATGGCTGCCAAGTGGATGCTTGCTGCTGTCTAGGGGCTCAACTGAGGTTGTTGGCAGGGACCCAGTTCTCTTTCATGTGGCTTCTCTTTATGACTAGGTGGGGACCTCACAGCTGGGGGCTTCTAGGTACTGACAGGGGGTGTCACAATAGCAAGCACTCCTCTAGAACACATTTCAAAGTGCTAGCTCTTATCAAGCCTCTGTTTGCATAACACTTGTTAACTCCCATTGGCCAAAAGCAGTCACACAGCCAAGCACAGTCAATATGGGCAGGAATTACACCGAGCTTGAATACAAGGGCGTGTAGTTCACTACAATTCTATCACGGTGCTACCTGTGTGAAACAAGAGAATATCATACAAATGGATGCTTGTATAGGCATGGATTATCTCTGGGACAATGCAGAAGCTAGTAGAGAATTTGAGGAAGATTAGGCAGCTGAAGGGGACCAGGTGGCTGGGATACAGAGAAGAATTACTTTCACTGTATATCTTACTGTACAATACACACATTACCAAAACCTAAATATTAATTTAAAATTAAAATAACGAGCACAAAGAACACTCAGAACAGTGACTTGATTGTAGTTGGTGTTAATTAAATACTTGTTTAATTAAAAAGGAACCAAGGATAAAACAAAAACTAAGAAGATATTCAAAGACATTCATTTTCATATACTACCTTATTAAGCAAAACCTCTTCCTCATAATAAGACATAACCCTCAACCACCTAGTTTGTAGGAAAAACAAATCCCTCATGATATACTACCCAATTTACATTTTTTGGTCCTCGTTCCAACTACACAACTTAACAAACCCCAAACCACAACAGTGGCTCTTAATTTCTAGACTGTTGATTCTACGTTTCTGCCAAAATGGTTTGGAGAAGTACTGAAAGCAATTTCTTATTATCAAACACTACTCAGAGGCCCCCCTTTCTAGACACGCAGGTTTTTAAGGCCAAGCAGTTACAGAAGACAAAGCCTTGCAAACAACATATCTCTACAAAACACTAGAGTATCTGTTGGTCTAGGAACAACCTCATTAAACAACTGATAGTGTTTGGATAGTTTTAAGTGTAGACACAGGGCATATGTATGCTTTTAACTCCGTTCTTCAATTAAGATGATCTTTGGGGGAAAAAACTCTCCTGATGAGTTTTAAAAAACAAACAAAGGTTTAGATTTAAGGG